TGGTGAGAGTGTTGTTTTTAGGACGTTCATCACTGCATCCCGGGTCTCAGGGTTGACTTCATCTAGACGAATGCCATTGTTTGCGAGTAGGAACTCGGGATTCGACCATGTGCGCCACTGTGGGGAGTCGATGTGGTAGTTGATGGCTTCTTTTTGCTTATCGTCCAACAGAGCTGTTACGGCTTCTGTTGCATCTACAATTGTTCGAATTGGGACGTCTTCTTCTTGTAATGTGAATAGCCCTGGGCGAACATTTCCTATTGATGTTAGAAGTATTCTTGTATTGTTTCGGTTTATTTCATACCATCGGTAGTCACGCCTTTGAATGGCTCCTGTAATAGCTCTAACCAATGCATATACAGTGCATGCAGCCATGGTGGCTGATGTCCAGTCTTAAATTCGTTCGCGTACTCGTGCGCATCCTGCTGGCGCATCACCTGGAAGCGCGGGAGGTTGAGGTCAGGCAGGTACTGGCGATACTCGCCTGTGGGCTTTTCTATTTTGGCCATAGTAAATGATATAAAAAATAACTAAAGAAGAAGAAATGTCCTTAAAAGTTGGTTGTATTATAGGTGAAACCCCACATCGGCGCCACCTTCCCCACGAGCGTGGGGATGGGAAATTCCTTACCCGCAACTTAGGGCTCCGGACATTTCATATCGTCTGATATATGATGTTCTACGTTTACCGCCATGCGAGGGTTAATCATTTCTGGTAAAACTGTCAAATGTAAGATTCTCACACTAAAAGGGACCTTATCTGCTGGATAATGAATAACATTTTATGCTAGTATATTCTCCCGTACCGTCTCCTTACTATTTCGATGTTTCTAGTAGAAGTTTCAAAGCATTTCTTCTAGCCTTTTGTGATCACTTGGTTTGTTAGCGGAGGGCATATAAGAATACTTGGCCGTGTATACAGCCTTATGATGTCTTCGTAGTCTCACATATTCTTTCTGTATGACTTTATCTTTTCACGGGTGGACGGTAGAAAATGTTGGGGAATGTCTTAAAATGTGAAGACTTTTCAAATATAACCTTTGGTGCAAACAAGACATGGAAACCTCGAGAATAAAAATGTCCTTGAGCCGAACAGAAGTAGTTGCCTCTCGTATACAGCATAATACCTACCTATATCGTCAAAGGAATGAAAATGTACCTACATGCTAATATGGTAGCATCCAGGGCATTCACCATGAAAGGACGAAAAGAATACTGTATCATCCAAATAAACCAACCAAAGAGCAACCGAAACATGGAACAGAACGAGCGAGATCAAAAGAAAAAAGGAATATCCTAAAGACCTAGGCACAACCAGATGTCATATCACATATGTTCCTTGACATCGGATGCAAAACTCCTTCCAACCCCCATAAACCGCAATCTTGTTCCTTTGCCAGGAATTATTCCATCGCAGGATCGAACATTGCTCAGTCGGCCACCTAGATCAAACGGAGAGCAATTGCACCAGCCAAAGTATCGAGTCATCAGACATCCAGATCCGCTCTCACTGTATCTGATGCCCTTCGGTCATACAAGAAGCGTTACAGATCACGGGTTTCGTGGCTTATTGGCATTTTGATCCATTCGTCCACAGCTCGTACTATCACGACCATCTCCATATTTTGCGTACAACCGAGCAATGCTTGGATCGGGATGCGAATTAGACGAGCTTGGACTTAACGAGCCCGGAGATGAAGGCGCCGTGGAGCCGGGTGTTTCTGCAGCTGCAGCTGTGGGGTTCGCTGTTGCTCTAGCTGCAGCGGCTGCAGCTGCGGGGTTGCAGTGTGCACACACAAATATGTTGAAGCCGCGACCGTTGCAGCTAAGGCAGATTGTTTCTCTGGTTGTATGAGTATTGGAATGTATATGTCAAGGATGTGACAGGGCTGTATACCTTGGGGCATTCCCAGCGCAACCCTTGCATGTGACTACCGTCCGCCCTCCGACGCATGATATGTGCTGGGGGTCAAGGTTCAACAAGGGCTGGATAGAGCTGGCCATTGTAATTGATGTAGAGGTATAGGGAAGGGAAATATTGCAAAGTAAATGGTGGAGATGCGGAGAGTGAAGTATGGTCAAAATCAGATTTAAAGAGCAGGTGGTTTTATGGTATTGTTTCTTTTCTTTCAGGGGTAAAAACTGTCCGGGATAGCGAGTATGTTATAAGCCCTGAAAAGGCAGGGAACAAAGACAATGATATAAAAGTGTAAGGGCAGAGAGAAACAACGGATTTCTTATACTGAAAGAAAGTAATCAGTGCCACCAACGAACTTCCCGAGAGTTTCCAAGTGTCACATATGCGATATGCACCAGGGAGCGTGGAATTGATGACGGGAATCAAGATTGAGTCGGGATGATCAGCAGGACAGGGAGGGAGACGGTGATAGGACAATTATCCAGGTACATGATGTACGATATTTTATTTATCCATATGGGGGTTATTTCAATCGAATCCTTCGCTTATTTCTAACCAAAAAAGAAAAAAAAAAAGTACATTCAACATGAGAGGGAGACGGCACAGAAACCGTTCTAGACTTGGCTGAGTTGTCAAACCCCGCTGCCCAGGTGCTTGTACCTGTCGAGCTAAGGTACCCAGCTGCGGAAATGCAGGGTTTATGAAACAGGAGCTGGTGGGGGATTCTGATGTTTCTCAATCCACACGACCGGGCCTACATCGTTACGTTTTGCATAGGATCCATTCGCTGGTCATTCTGTGAGAGGGTTTTTAGAGCAAAACATATGTAGTGAAACCAAAATCCTACCAAATTGGCAAATCGAACTTGATCTAGTCATAGGCAGTCGTTCATGTGCAGCGGAAAAGATGTCCCAGGAGCATGGCCGCCACGTCGTGACACGAAGAACAAGTCTTGACCGCACAAACTGATATACCATTATACCCATAAGTCAGGACTGTCGACATGTCCACGAGCATGGGATGTGAAATTCCAACCACGGATAGCTGCATTGGACCATGCGACTATAATCTGATCTCCGAAATGATGTGTAGACGGGCCATGCTGGGTGGATTATCGATGGTTTTTCCGGTGGATATCTCTCAGCTCTCGTATTTTCCTGAGACGATCTTTCGATCTCAACCGAAAAGGTAAAATACTGTGCATGGAAGTTGGAAATTGACAGTCAGACGGTCACGCAGGTTTGCTCAGCATATACCCAATCAGGAACAGTGTGTAGTTCAGGGGGTTTCTACGGACCGCTCTCGAGGTGTATGAGCAGTAAGGAAAATGTGCATTGACGATCTCGTGTAGGGAGCAGGATCAAGTCGATGCAATGATCTCCATAATCCGCATATCACATTGATAATAATGCATCGTAAGCACAATCTCCGATAAGCACAGCCGGAGAGCGCGGATGCAACTGACAGATGCATATGCCAACATAAAGGATCAGATAGAAAAAAAGAAAGAAAAAGCTGTGAGAGATGGAAAGAAAGCTCTGTAAGAGGTGTGAGCAACCAATAAGCAGAAAGAAGGAAAAATCTAAATTTGGACTCACAACCAATTGCAAGGCTAAGTTCACAGCCCGAAGCCCGAAGCGCCGTGGAGGTGACATTGCATCAAGCAGGTAACCGTGGAGGGGCTGCAAGGACAGGGGCAAAAGACGCTAGAAAAATCCCTTTTTCTCATCTCAACAAGGATTCCTTGCCGTTTGGCTTCTTCCATTGTATACTTGAAGCGCTTCTGCGGATTGATCACATGCAGACTAGTGGAAATGACACGCCATCAAAAAGAATTCACTCATCTCGGGCTTTCATGCGGTCTGCTAAAAGATCAATGTAACATCCGAGTTCAGAAAGAAGCAACGGGTATGCGCGTCATGGGGCGGGGCTATGGATTTGTATAGGAAAGAAAGATATCAGCCTCTAGTGCGTGTAGGAACTAAGACAGACCTCAAACTCCATCTCGTTCAACCGGTTCGCTGTTAGGGAACCTGCAGCCGGCCACTTCCAATCACGCGCTAGTCCAGGATTCGAAGTCCAGAATTTGAACTCGGGCTGGAATCGAGGCTTGGAGCGGTAAATCCCGTCAATTATTAGAAGTTTCTATGTCTTGAGGTAAGACTTCTGAAGGTCCTCGAACTAGAACGCTTGCAAATAAGGTTGAACATCGAGGGGAAGAAAAACAAAGTAAAAAGATTTGAAGAGATGAGGTTGCACGTAAAAAGGCAATTGCAAGTCAGCTGATTTGAACCTATAGGATACCTGCAGCCCAATTCCCATTGTCGATGCAACAGGTCTGGTCACCTTTTGGGAATTTATTTTCTAAGATCTTGTTTTGCTGTTTAGGATACGTCGTATATGCCGGTAATAAACATCTGTATGGAGTAGAACATCAGGGTAGTCTCTGAGCACCGGCACTCAATTGATAAAACTCATATTCCTGGCAGATGCTGACCTTCGGCGACAGTGGAATGATATCACGGTGCGTTTCTAAATGAGACCATCCAAGAATACCCCAAATCCGTGCCTGACAGGCTAAACGGCTATAGACCAAAATGTCTCATTGGATTACATTGTCAAAAGAAAATAAAGGATTGTCATTCTCCATTACGATCTGCATAGCTATCACATGGAAAAGAATAAAGCGCTATGTGGCGTTCCATCTTGAGAGTCACCGTATCTGACCCAGGTAATGGTTCTGTGTGTAGCCACGGTAAAAAGGGAAAAAGCAAAGAAATAGGGAAGAAACAAATTAACCAACCAATAAAACGCCCAGCCGTGGCGGCTTCCATAGCCAACACGGCAGTGATCGGGTAAGGACCTCGAGTGCTTGCTCATGGAGCCACGACATAAAAACAGCAGCGAGGGGGGGGGGAGTGGAGAAAAAACAATCACCCTAATTCATTCTTCCACGCATAGCCAGGACGCCTGGGTAATCCCGAAATCATAAAATCGTTGCAACCACACCGAAACCATGTCGGCGTTAAATCATAAAATATGGAAAGCAGAGAGCAAAAGAAACCGGGGCCAAGTGATTCTGATCACTGGAAGTAGTCATTGGGCAAGGCTGCTAGCATGGCGATGGTGCCCAGTCCACCCAGCAGAGCACTTACGACAGCCGTGGTGGCGTGGCTCGCAAAGGACTTTGAGGTAGAGTGGTTAGACTTGATTCGCTTTGCAGGACGCTCATTATCAGCAAATGCGGAGACATTCTCGGCAAGTGCAGAGCTGATAGCATCCTTAGCTTCGGAGGAAACTGTGTCGAAGTTGAGATCTGGCTGACTGGCTGGCTCTACAGGCAGCCTCTGAGCATCTTGAGAAAGACTAGGCTCAAGAGACGACGATTGCATCTCTGTTGCAGTACGCTTCAAAGTTGATTTTCTAGATGTCGCCAGGTAGGGCACAGAGGCATCTTCCTGTGCATTGGTCGAGAATGGTCCATCGTAATAATGATTCTCGAATTCATGGGAGAAGGAAGGTACCCCAACAGTGCTCTCAATCTTCCGTTGCATTGGTGGGTATTTGTTCTGGCATGAGCTTGGCAGCTCGCTAGAAACAGCGTGTGTCGGGAAGCGAGCACCTGGATTTGTCATACTAGGGGCAGTCTGTGTCGTTAATGGTTTGCTCTCCTTTCGTATGACGTTCAGCAGCTGGCCCACAGGAACCTCCTGGGCCAGTCGCTCTGGGCCAGCTTTCTCGGGAACATGCTTGGACACCTCGACGGCATCAGTGTGGTTGGTGCGTTCAAGCTTCTTTTCAAGCTTCTTCACATACTCCGAGTTAAGTGAAGGAATGATATGAGGCTTCTGCGAAATAAGATGTTCAAGACGTTCACCCTCAGAGGAACAATCAGAGTCATTTTCGGATTCGTCAGAGACCTCATGATCTTCCTCCAGTCCCTCATCATCATCTTCCTCATAGTTGTCCTCGTCAAAGTCTTCCGCCGACAGTTCACTATCAGCTCCGTGAACCGATTCGCTCTCAAACATCAGATACGGGTATTCATCATAGCGTTCTGAGTTCGACTCGCTGAGACCATCTGACTCAGACATGTAATCCTCGCTGCCCTGGGCATCTTCGTCTGAATCAACGGACTCGTCATCGGCTAGCCAATTTTTGTCGAAATTCGGATCCCAGTAAGGAGCCACATCGCACCACCGATTTCCGATCATTTGGGGCACCCAGGCTCTCACGATCCAACATTTGTGACAGTCGTCAACCTCGGTTTCAGTCTCGAGCTGGTGCTTCAGTTCCTCGCTGAGAAGCTCCAGTGGCTTTTCAACGATCCACCACCAATTGCTCGCATGTTGGCCATTTTCCTCTTCGTAGATGATCCAGTATCTTCGCTTATCGACTGACCAGTATCTAAGAAGGCTGCCAGGCATACGATGGAACGATGTATCTGATTCCTCGAAGTCCGGCTCCCAATAAACTTCTGTCCCAACGCAAGGCTGGAAGCTAGGGGAGTCGTCTACCCAGTATGCGTCTTTGGAAAGAGAACAACGGCGTGCAGCGTGGATGATGTGCCTGTCGTGGTCAACGTCGGGGATTATGTTGGATTCACCCCAAGCCATGTCTGCCAGGCGCATAAACATAGGCCGCATCATGGTCCAATTGCTGTAATGTATCTCTGGGACCTTCTGGTAGCAGACTGCAGGGAGGCTATTTGGGTCATATTCTTGTTGAGCAGATGGAATTTCGGCAGAGGCCGGTTCGGCCGGAGACAGTTTAGTGTCAGGGAGTGGATTGGTATCGGACAGAGGACTAACAATATCCGGGACCAGTGGTGTAGGACCGGGCACAACTTTTGTGATCGATTCGTCAATTTGAGCCAAGCATTCAGAATGGGGCTTGGGCTCGTCCTTTGGATGTTCATCGCCCTGAACACTCGAGGCAGGAGAGATTAGAGATGTATCCGCAGACTGCAGAACAGCAGTTTCGCAGGATTGGGCAACGGACTCTTTAGAAGAGTCATCGCTAGGGAAGTCAGGCTCGATATCGCTATCGTCTTCGGGAACAGAGAAACTGTTGGTTGACGGGCTTAGATCCGGTTTGATAGCGACACCATCATCTGGAATGACTACACCCTGGGGTTTGACCCACTCAACCTCGCAGCGGACTTCGATGGCCTCAAAAGTCTCTGTACTTGATTAGTTCCAGCACTATTGGACTCGGATTGGCAACTTACCCTGACCACGGTCGACATCAACACCAAATCGAATGACATCTCCACTATGCAGCGGGGTATCCACATCTGTTACTAGTTTGGCATCATTCACAAAGGTTCCATGTGTTGAGCCACAATCGGCGATGAAAACCATCTATCAAGGATGTCAGCTTGGCTATGTAGTCAGATCTGGACGCCCAGACTAACATCTTGGTCTGGCGGTATGTTAAGAAAAGCATGGTCGCGTGACATGACCCGAGACTCAAACCAAGCGTTCTCTGTTGCAGGACTCCGTTTTCGAGTTTCCCGTTTTGAGGCACGTCCGATAGCCACGGTTATGTCATTGTCGGTGATGGTGAGGGTACGCAGAGGGTGAGTGTCTTTGAAAAGGGGAAGAAGCGTCACGGTGACTGTGAATTCAAAGTGTTAGTTGGAAGCAAAGTGACTGTTGAGAGTTATCAAGTACTTACCGCGTGGGTCCGGCATGGCGAAAGATAGATCCACGATGGTGCTGTGAAGGATTTGGAAAGCAGAAATAGGAAACTGTTTGTATCTAGACGATAGTTAGACTGAGAGATGGAGTTTCATAATAGATATCGTAGCAGCAAAGTAGAATGAATAACAAAGCATGGGAAGATGAAGGGTGGGGTAGGAGATTAGGGAAGTTGGGGGACAAAGGCAGCTTACCCGGATGTTTCCAGGCTGCAACGTGATCACATGGACCAGTTGAAACAGCCGGGAGAGATCAGACTGCGGAAAAAAGGCAGTTTTCGAGCAAAGCAACTCAGAGCAAATATGAAAGGTTGTTCAAAGTACAGTGGAAGAGGAAAAGGAAGGGAGAGAGGGGTAGGTTCATGAAATCAGGTCGAAGTTAGGTTCACCGCTGACAAGATAGTAACCCGTTTTAAACAGAGCTCAGCTTGATCATCAGTTACCGGCAAATCTACTGAAAAATAAGGAAGTCAAGATTCAACAAGAAGTTAAGAAGTCAACTTCCCGGAAGCTCAGGAACAATGAGGTATGTATGAGAAGTGATAGTGTAAGATAAGCAAATGACGCCGTTGGGCTTATTTCAACATGCATATACTCTGGCTCTACAGGTACTTCCCAACTGTACAAAGATGGACTAAACAAGAGATATTACATATTAGACTTGAACTTACTTACTGAATCTTTCAACGATTCAGACCGTTTCGACGTTGAGGTTCATATAAAAAAAACAAAAGGGAGATGGCCGATAAGGGGTGGGGTCAGCTGATGTGGGGACACACGTCATGGTCATCCGTACATACAACCTTGGAGAGGGAACTACTCCCTACTATGTAAAACATATACATACATAGACAGACAGCCTTGAAAAGTATTTGGTATACAGTAATCTGATTTTAATGAGCACTCTCATTTTTCTCTATGGTACACAAATTACTACATGGTCAACCCCCAATGCACATACCCGGGCTCGGTTTGCCGTTCGGCCCATCCTATCCCGAGTCCTATATCAGACCCAGTACCAAAACAAAAAGAAAAAAGGCAGACGGGGAATATGTCAACCGATACTAAATACACGCAGAGAGAATAGTGACCGGGGATCCAAAGATACCGAAACCGGAAGAGAAAAAGGCTTAGACAGTAATACCCGGACCGGGGCGAGGAAAGAAGCGAAGAATCGAAGAGTGAAGATGGTCCACTTGCTTACATGCCAGGAGCACCACCGTTCATGGCACCCATGGTGTTCAAGCGAGCAGCTAGCTGGGGGTACTTCTCCTGAACCTCCAACTGAGTGCGGGTGGCCTCGGCATAGGAGATGGCGTTGATGATCTCAGCCTCGGTGCGAGCCAGCTCAGCAGCGCGCTCGAAGTACTTGAGAGCCTGGGAGACCTTGCCCTGCTGGAGGAGAAGCTGGGCCATGGTGCCAACGGCAATATCGCACTCGGGGTCGATGATGAGAGCCTTCTGGCAGAGGTTCTCGGCCTCCTGGAAGTCGTGCTTCCACTGGAACAAAGCAAGAGCCTTGTTGATCAAGGGCAGAACGTTGATGCCCATGGGCTTGCTCTGCTTCTCCATCTCGACGGCCTTGTCAAACTTCTCAATAGCCTCAGAGTAGTTCTGCTGATCGAGCAAAAGCTCGCCGTAGTAGTTGTACACATCAGGAACTTCCTCAAAGTTCTTGACTGTCCGGCGGAAAGTGGCCATCGCTGAGGCGACAGAGCCCATCTTGTATTGTGTCACACCAAGTTGGATGTGAGAGTAAATGAACGACCGATCGAGGTCGATTGACTTCTGGTAGTCCTTGGCGGCCTCGGCAAGCTCAGTCAGGATGAAGTGCAGCTGAGCACGGTGGTAGTAGATATCGGGGTCATCCTTGTTGTGAGTAATGGCAAGCTCAAAGTCGTCGGCCGCAGCGTCCTTGTTACCTAGCTCCAGGTGCAAGCTGGCGCGCTTGATGTAGCTTTGAACCAGGGAAGGTGACAGCTCAACACTCTTGTCCAGGTCGACCAATGCGCCAGTGGCGTTACCACCAAGGTAGGTGAAGGTGGCTCGCATGTTCAGGGCCAATCCTTCAAATTCGTCAAGCTCGCCAAGCTCAAGTGCTTTCTCGAAAGCGGTGGCAGCCTCTTCGTAGCCATCGGCGGTCTTCTTGCCCATAGCGATGAGACCCTTACGCAGCTGGCCCTTGCCGGACTCCTCGCTCAACTCAACCGATTCCTCCAATCCCTCGGGGAGGACCTGGGGGCGGAAGCTCTGGAGGTAGTTGGAGACAAAGGTAGCACTGGGCAACTTCTTGGTGCGCGCCTCCAGAATAGCCTGGCTCTTCTTCTCGGCAACCTTCTTCAGCAGCCGTTCCAGCGAGTTGCGGCTCACGTCGTTGGAGAAGGCATCAATAATACAGCTGGCTGTGAAGTCGAGGAGAGCCTCACTGTACTTTTCAAGGTGCTCATACGCAATGGCTCTTCGGTTGAGGGCCTTCACGTATTCGCTGTCCATAGCGAGAGCGGCGCTGGTGTCCTCGACGACCTTCTCCCAGTTGGACTGGACGTTGTAGCACGCGGCACGGTTGGAGTAGAAGACGGGGTCGGGCTTGCAGATAATGGCCTTGCCGTACAACTCAATCGCTTTGGGGTAGTCCTTGATTCCGTAGGCCTTGTTACCGGCGGCCTTCAGCTTGGCTGCATAGGCGTTCCGGGTCTTAATTGTCAGCGAGAGTGTGAGAAAGAAGGTTGCTTAACATACCTCTTCGGACAGTTGTCCAATAGTTGCCTCATCGACTTCTGGAAGCTCCTCAGTAGGCTCCTCTACCTTTTTGGGGGACTCTGAAACCTTGTCAGTCATACGACCACCGTGTTTAAATAATAGCACATACCATCCTTCACTGACGCAGCCTTTTCCTCCTCGGCCTTCTTCTTTTCTTTCCGTCGCTGATTCTTGCTCTTCTTTGGGGCTGGAGGAGTGGATTTGCTGGAATCGTTCAGGTAATAGACGACACCCGCGCCGGTCACGACAACGGCAACACCGGCAATGGTGTAAACAACGGCCTTGTTCTCCGAGACCCAGTTAGTAATGCGATCCCAGACTGATGCCGATGATGACTCGGTCAGCTTTGATGTATCAAGCACCACATTTTGGGTGGGTGTAGGTAACGGCAATTCGTTCGACATGATGTGTAAGGGAACCAAGCAAAGGACCGCAGCTAGTTCTTCAAGTGTATGCAGATATCAGTATTGGATCGGTAAGTCAGGCGCAATTAGACTGAGATGCAAGACAATGGGGTAACCAACCAGACCTCGACAAAAGGAGTTAGAGATGGGGAAAGAGTCGGGAATGATGAAGCTCAGAGGAAAAGTCAAGGGTTCCGCTGGCCGGGCCGGCCAATCACGCGCTTTACGCCGGTAACGCTCAATTTCTCCACAACACATGTCCGGATCGAAGAGTTGGCTCATCGGATCTTTTTGTATTATTCCCCTTCTTTTCTCTTTGAATTCTGTCCAAAGCAACATCGTGTGGATTTATCTACTATTTGGCAAGACTGACATTGGTAACTATAGCAACGACCGTAAGCCATTGACCTTCGCAAAAATGACCGAGAACTCTTCAATCCCACAATCTTTCGAGATCATTTCGTCCCTTCGCTTTGACCCGGGCCTTTCAGATGCAGCTTGTCGTCATACATCGAGCTATCCGGATCCTCACAAATCCCCTTACTATCTCCTCGCCTATCACCAAGATCGGCTCATAGCTGCTGCGGCTCATTTTGAATGGAACCGGGCTCTAAACTGGCTGCGGCAAGATCTGGAAGGCTTCGAAGAGTTTCTTGACATGTCAATTCCGGACCGGAGCAAAGCGTGGAGGCTTCGAATTGTAGTGAACAGCAAAGGGAAGGCGAGGGTTGAGGCGAACCCAACAGCGAGCATTGATTTAATGAGTTTGTTCATTCCTTCTCTACATACGAACCCAAGCCTACCGATATGGCGCGTCTATGTCGACACCCAATCAACAACTCCTTCTGGCTTCACCACACATAAAACTACTGCGCGTGATGACTACACGTCTGCACGGCTGAGAGCAGGGATTAATTCGCCGACTGACCTTGCGGAAGTACTGGTTGTGAACCCGGAGGGCGAGATTATGGAAGGCAGCATCACTACGCCATACTTTTTGCGAGACCACATGTGGATCACACCCCCACTGAGAAGCGGCGGCAATGCAGGTACAACACGGAGGTATGCGTTATCTCAGGGTTTCTGTCTAGAACACACCATATCCCGGGATGAGCTTGTGGATGGCGAGTTGTGTTGGTTGAGTAACGGCGTAAGGGGGTTCATTCGCGGCCAAGTTATATTCAAGTAATAATTCCCCATATTATATGACATGTACCTATGTACGCACCTACTTCGATGGGTACATATGTGGACTAGTCAAGTATTTGAATGGTATTGGTAAATTGATGAAAATGCTATGGAATCATGTGTATTTTGAACTTGATAGCTCCGGAAAGTGTCCCTCCTCCAAGCAGCCTTATTTTTTAGCCTTCTCGACAACCACCGGGTTTGGATTCCCCTTCCACTCCAGAGGGCGAGGACGCATGTACTCGGCCATAATCTCATCCGTAACCTTTGCTCTGCGCTCCTGGAACCCTTGAACATAAGTCTGTAGCTCAGCGATACACTTCTGCTTGATCTCGCCAGTCATCATCTTTCCACTCTCGTAATCGGTACGGATGCGCTCAAGCTCCGCATCATCCTCGAGGAAGAATGTCAAGTACTGGAATGGGATATCGTTCTTGGTGTTTCCACCCAGCTCGCGCTGCAACTCCGCGGTGTCCTGGCCACCTGAGAATGCGTGCTTGTTGATCTTGTTCTTGATCTTGTTAGGCGTGTCGTTCATGAAAATAGCGGAACTGTCGACACTGGCAGACATCTTGGATCCAGGACCCTGGAGGGCGGGAAGGAAGATAGAGTGGATGAGAGAGGGCTTCTTGAACTTCATCTTCTCCGCATGTTCGCGGCACTGGCGGAAGTAGGGGTCTTGGTCAATAGCGCATGGAATCAAGCAAGGGATCGATGCGACCTTCTTCGTCTCGGTACCGAAGATGTGGGGGAAACTGGTAGAGAATGCCGCGGCGGACTGGGTGGCACAGAAGTGGAACTCGCCAATGTTGTTGCTGTCGTTAAACCCGAATGTGCCCTTGACCTGGTTGATTGTAATTCTCTTTGCCATTCGGCACATGTTCTCGTAGAAAGCACCACCAATGAATTGGAAATCACTGAAGATAAAGGTCTTCTTCATATCGAATCCAACAGCAATGATATCCTTCGCGTTTGCTTTTGTGTATCTCTTGGCGTCCTCAATTTCGATCTTCTGGGAGTGCATAAACTTCTCGTCGTCGGTCATCATGATAACGAGGGGAACATCGAAGACGTCCTGGAGCCATCTACATTTGAATCAGTTTCCCGTATCTACTCAGGTGGTCGAGACTAAACATACTTGGTGAACTCGAACGGCACAGTGTGTCCAACGTGCATGCTGTCGCTACTCGGGCCGCGGCCAGTATAAAGGAAGAACGGTTCGCCCTTCTCATGCTTATCCAAAATCTTCGACAGATCACGGTGACTGAACACGATACTCCGGCGCATGAAACGGTGTGGTCGATGGCCAGTCACCTTCTCAAAGCGCTCCAATAAGGCTGCATTGATGGGTGTGGCTCCAAATTCCCTCGTGAGCTTCTCATAGTCGACCGGCAAGAGCTTTCCAGATTCATCAACTCCGCCGGAGACATCGAAGGGCGTCACGATCTGGCCAACGGCCTTGGTCTCTGGGGTTTTTTCGTCGATGCTCAATGAGTTGAGCGCCGGAGGCTGAACTGCTTCGTTGGCCATGATTGTTTCTTCGTCTGGTAGAAATTGGTCAATTCTAAGTTTTCAATTGCAGCAGTCAAAAGCCAATCCTCACTTTATTTTATGGTTGAGGAAATCATGAATTTCCTGTTGCCCCTCTTGGAATATCGCGTGATGACTCAGAACTCCCGCTATCAGTGAATACTCTGATTGGTCTACTTTATACACTATCAGGTGACCGGGCCTAACCCCGCGAAAGCCTTCCTTTATGCTTGGTTATTGCTTCAATATTTCATGTTTAGTTAAATCGGAGTCGATAAAAGCACGAGGCTCTCAATTAAGTGAGGTAAATATATTTGGTGTGTGTATAGTGTACGCAACGTTCATAGTTGCAATATAACATAGAATGTATCTAGAGTGATCGTCGGAAGTATATAATTACCTCCATGCCTTCGAGTGCAATTTTTTGAAAAACTAAAAAAAAAGAAAGAGAACAACAGATATTTGGGCCACTACGATATCAGAGACATAAAGAACTTTGACCTCCACCCAGCAATGTAGGAAGTCTAACATTCTTACGTTTGTCGCTGCGTTATTTGTGGATATAAGATACCAGAGCCATATTGCGCACTATTTCAAATGTTGGCAAAGATTTTCAGCAACATCATCCATACAGGCTTGACTATTTTAAAGCCCTAACAGGTATGTATGCACCTGTCCATGTGAGGTAACCTCGAGTATATTGGGCTTCTGGCTACCCAAAACTCCTATTGAAGCCGTCACATTTTTCTCGTGGGTCGTATCATTCACAGAGGTCTCCAAGTTAATGAATAACTTGTGCGGTCACAATCTCGATGACGTCTATGTTCTAGCGCCGATCTTATGCCCCTAACACTAACATTCTTTTCCTCTTCTTAGTACGACATTTGACAGGAGGGTTACCTAAGTAGATGCTGTCTCATAATCAGTATTTGAAATCTGAGCTACAATCAGCAACACAGGATCCAGACTTAGCAATCCTCGGCCTATCCTGCATTTTATAGTCCGCCGATCTATATAGAATCCCTCCTGGTGTTGATAATCATTGCCCAAAGCTACCCTAGCATTTATCTGCTTCTTGGGGCACCATTATAACGGACAGGTGCTCCCGAGTTCCCATGGCTTCTTAGCCTGATATTTCTCGCTATCTCCACCATGAATAACAGGTAGACGATCTCTCCATATAAAGACATCCTAATAATACGCGCAGATGGACGCAATTGAGTTTCCACTTAGTTCTAAGTAATCATATAACCCCCTGTGCTGACTGCAGCGTATACGGTTAATTTTGTCTACAAAGTATCATTCCAAAGCCAATACATACATATGTACGGAGTAATAGCTTGAACATAATATATTATTAAGGTACGGAGTACTGTTATAATATCTGTTATTTTTCCCGCCGGAAATGGACAGGGCACCCCGGCCTGCATGTTGCCAGACCAATAGCCCCAGTCCAAGCGTGGTGGATGCGCTATGTAGAGTGCAGAGTGCGGAGTATATCAGCCCACCTTTCTAGCTCACCATAAGAACTTACTCCTACCCACCTTGCTACGCGCACCTGCATCGGGTATCATTCTATCTCACCCAAAATTCCCTCTACCCGAAACTCCATGCAGCAAGCCGCCGCTAAGCACGCCTTATTGATGGGCTCGCAAGCCACCGTATGCGGCACTAATCCCCATTACGCCGGGCTTCGAGTAAATATCAACAATGCGGAAGTCAACTGGCTGTATAACTGCTTACATTGTGTCCATTGATATTAAGGCAGCGTAACGAGGGGGCAAAATTCCTCGGATATGTGGGTCACTCGTGTTTGAGATTATGCCAGTAAGCTTGTCTTTTCGGTCTACTGCAGATGTGGGTCGCTTTTCCTCTTTTGATAAGGGCGGGACACTTTATAAGCAGTTTTGGTCTATGAGGGAGAAAGAGACAGGATTATCAACATTAGGACTGTGGGAACTCCGGAGGGGTCCGGTTGACACGTAGCTTTGCCGTGTTGGGTGAAGCAGTGGGAGATGAGACCCGCTTGGTTTGTTGACTGGGTATATTGTCCAGTTTGAGATTTTTCTGTTCATATTGGGTTATACATATTCCGAATGGGATACCAAGGCTGGTTTCAGACTTGGTGGGGGCGAAGGGCCGAGGCTATGGTCTCATAATCTTCCCGTGGACTTGGACTTGAATTCGAATCCGAACTATAAACTCCTCGCTAGTGAGTTTCAGTTTCTTTTCATGTGGTACAGCAGAAAGATCCGGAAGGATGCAGAAATCACAGTATGCAGGGGTAAAGGACAAAGCTGCCGAAAGTTACTACCTCGATTTACTTTCTATTACGAGCAATGGTACCTAGGTAGGCATACTGATGATGTAGCATCAATGCACTCTGCATTATTCTCTACTTCTCTCTCACGGATGTTTGATTTTAAATAAACATATTTTAACCTGGTAAGGTGAAGAAGATCAGCTCTAGAGATGCGCCTAGGCATAGTCGATAAATAAAATCAAAGCCAACCCATCCTGCAGCTAGCCTAATCAAGAGTAATAAGCAAGTTGCCCAATTCGCTTTTTATGCCTTTATTAGTTCACTCTGGCTCTGGAAGGTCATTGTATTATTTAGATGTCACTCTAGGGATTACGGTTCACCCACCACAAAGATAAAATCCATACCTCTCTTGAATATGGAATACAACCTTGTTCTAAAGATATCTAATTCTGCAGCCTTATAACCAAATGCGTCACTTTCCAGCAAAGGGGTAACTAGATGTGTTGGGAGCTTGGACAATAATCCGAGACAATACGCGCACCAAACCATCATGAGGTTGTATCAAGCACACAGAATACATTATGAGGAGGTTCAGCTCATCGCATCAACCAGTCAGCTTTAACGGTACTCTCCCTCCACGCGTAGTGATAGGTGTCGGGTGATGCGGCGTACAAGGCAACGCGGATGATGGTTGGCTGGATGGAATCTTCTATCCAGCTTGGGGGTAGATTGACTTCAGCAGAAAGCTCGGGAGATGTAGACGGATGACATGGGTCGGTAGTTAAGACGTCACTGCGTTGAGTCAAGACGCGTGCGAATCAGAAATGACCAACTTGACGCATGACACCCCCCAGTCAATCGATCGCAACTGGACGGGGAATATCCATTTTCCACTTGCCCTCGCTAAAACGACATTGAAGATATGTGATATCTTTTTTAATATATATATTTTTTTTTCAGTCTGGGGAATTTATAGGTCACCAGGCAGTTGCGCGTGGAAAAGGGTGAAATACTGGTTTCACAGGTGCCTGGCTCGGAACTTTTAAGAAGGGCCTTTCTCTCACATTTCCTTTTTTTTTTCTCGCCGTTAACTCAGGGACAAAGAGGTCCACTATTAAAGCGGCACATTCGTCATCCCGTCCCTCCAAACCTTGGATTTACTTGAAGTCAGCGTTCTAGAGGGCCATCGGAGTCCTCGGAGAATCTAGTAAGATATTTTTTTTATTATATTTTTATATTTCTATGTTTTTTTTTTTTTTCATGTTTCGGGTATTTTTCATTTTATTTTGTATCTCTTTGTATTTCGTCATTTGCAATTTTATTTCTCTTGGAAATTGGTGGAGTTTCCCCCCCGCAAGTGCTTAATGCACACTAACCAGAATAGATGCGAAAACATTCTCCTTCAGATTCCCCTTTTTCATTTTCTTCTTCCTCTTCCTCATCTTCCTCTTCTTTCTACCTCTCATCACGTAGTAGTTCATTTTCCCCAAGTAAGTGGCTCAATTACCCGATCATCTTTCCCCTTTTAAGATTTCCGGGTGTTTATCCCCCTCTTTCACCATTGGTCCGCTCCTGGGGATCTATATTCTCAAACTTTCCCCCTTCCCGATGACATATACATTCGATATTCTGTCGGCTATCGCGATTCGCTTTCATTCTTCGCTATACACGTGTGTCATTCTCATACCCACGCTGATCAAAAATTTAGGCCTATCATCTACCTCGTACCGACATTCAACATTCCAACCAAGAGATCATCTTGAAAGTCTAATCACCAAACACGGCTACCCCACACCTGTGTCACTCTCTTCCCTGCGAGATTTAACAGCCACCTCATCTACTTATACTCCCCCTTCGCCTCGGTCCCGGTACCCGGATCCAATTCCGATCGAATTTGACCCGCTTACCTCATCATCCTCGAGACCTATTCCAATCCCAAGACGCCCCGGTCCAGTATACGATCTTCCAGTCACACCACTCACCGGTCGATTTGATCACTCTTATTTTGAAGATTGGGAACGTGCCTCTCAATCCGCCAAGTCCCGACAAATCCATCCAATCCGGCCTCGCCGCGGCCAGTATCCATCGCGGCCCCTGCCATCCTCGACAAGGATGCGTTCTGATAACTCACCTTACTACTCCCCGGCTGCCTCGCCTATTATGTCTCCACGACGCTCAAATTCTCCCCAACCAACTCGCTCTCGGACCCAGAATCAATCCAAAGCCAAACAAACCCAGAACTTCCATCTCGGAAGCTTGCCCAGGTTCCATCCTGCTGTATATCAGTCGAGCAGCACTTCTCACAATGTCGTTTCTCAGCCTTCATCCCCTCGTCAATCTCGACAGCCTGTCTACCGCACTACAGCTGGGTCACGCGACATGATGTGGCAGTACCGTGAGTTTATCGAGGGCGTTCACCAAGGCCCTTCGGCGCCTCGTTTGGACCCTCTGGTCAGCCCCGGCCCCGTAACGCCCTTGGCACTCGAAGCCGGTGATTACCTTGCCCATGGCTCGATGAACAGCACATCCGAGCGGACTCCACGAGATGTCTCAAAGAACTCCGGCCCCCCGCCTGAGCTGGTGGAGAAGCTCATTGCCTATGAGGAGAAGGCTCGGCAGATGGCTCGAAAGCCCGCTAAAGGCCGGTAATAGAACTACCCCGCCCCGGCTTTGCATCAAAAGGTAGTTTCTGTTTATCATCCATTAGAGAAGTAGGCCCCCCCTTGGCACTACTCTTTTGTGCCTGTTCTTTTTATATCTGCTTTTTTGGTGTTTTGGAACAAAATGAACTCAGCCAACAGCGCTGATATGGTGTGCATGGGCCTCCTTTATCGTTTTCTTGTTCTCATTTTTGCACTCTCGCCTTTCTCATGATCAAACATCCTCGGCTCTCGACCGACTACTGCGTTTGATCTTGCATCACGACTTCATGTATCTAAATTATACCCTACTCTAGTTCAGTCTTCGGACCTTAGCATATCCAAATGGCGCCCACGTATCAACCCTTAATACGGAATATTATTTTATGTAGTCTATTTAGCCCTTGATTTAACTACACCACAATAGTAGCCACCCAATCTGGCGCTATGACGGGGGTGTTTCCAGCATTGAGGTTATAGGTTTGCCAATGTTGGTCTAATTTGACATTTGACTCTGGGGTGTGTCGGATGGATAATTTACTTGGGTTCGCCAGGTTTTCCGGATTGCCTAGATCTAGAGTGCATTTCCGATATTCAGATAATGGGCAATGGTTTGTATCTTGTTTTTTTTTTTTCTTTGGATTATTTTTGGTCTACAACTTCCATCCGGACTCCAAATGTTCCCAGTGCGCTATTATCTTTGAGATTGATCCTGTTAAGTTCCATCAAAATAAGAGTTAAATGTACGAAAGCTAATCCCCCCAGATTTACTACTCCATATAGAGCTAGCTCAAACGCCACCTCCGGCATGCGCCTAAGGCATCATCCGCGATCCGGAGGAACGCCCAATCTCCCCGAGAGGAATCTGCGGGGCCCAATTTACTTCTCCCAGCAATATTTCCTTCACATACTCCATTAATGTCTTATATATACCCCAGATTCCCCAGAAAAGACGCATTTTGCAAAATACTCCTTGGAAGCCAACCCGAGATCACTCTATCCTTATCGGTATCTGTCACGTTTCGATCGAATCGACAAGCACCCTACGATTTGCGCGAGTCCATTCCGTGACTTATTTGGTCTGAGATCCATAATCAGAGATTGAGGGAAAACGTGTGGGGTTACTAGACGATGTCATCGGCGCCGGCGCCTTTACCTGTTTCGGCATCTAATATGACGGGTCAACAGAAGGCGGAAAACGCGCTTGCTCAGTCAGGAACGTCGAAGTCAAATTACAAGGGCTTTGTGGCGGGTGTGTTTTCAGGAATTGCGAAACTCAGTGGTAGGTTGTGTTCTGTGTTCTGGTTTGGAGTTCGAAGCTAATATTGTTCTCTACAGTTGGCCATCCGTATGCATAACCGACTATTTCGCCGGGGGTCAGTTGTTAACGAAGTTAAACAGATTTGACACCATCAAGGTTCGCCTACAAACTAGCAAAGATGTACAGTTCCGAGGACCGTTGGATTGCACGTTGCAGACTTTGCGAAAGGAAGGATTACAAGGGTTTTATAAAGGAGCTACACCACCGCTGGTCGGATGGATGGTGATGGACTCTGTGTAAGTGTGCCACGCTATTAAAAGGAATAGTACGTACTGACTGCCTACAGTATGCTGGGCTCCTTGACTCTATACCGCCGATTACTACTCGAAAATATCTTCTCGAAACCTCACATCCGCCCTTACCTCCCTTTCTCGAGCTACCAACCAGACCTTGCCACCCTTCCTAGTTTCGGGCATGGAATCGCAGGTATCATGGCAGGTACAACGGTCAGCTTCGTCGCAGCCCCAGTTGAGCACGTCAAGGCACGCCTGCAGGTGCAATACGCCGCCGACAAATCGAAGCGCATGTACAGCGGGCCGATCGACTGCCTGCGCAAGATGGTGAGTGCGAATGACAACATAACATACAACCAACTGACATGGATAGTATCGCACGCATGGCATCGGCGGCATATACCGCGGCCTTTGGGCGACGGTCCTTTTCCGGTCCTTTTTCTTCTTCTGGTGGGGCTCCTACGACGTCCTGACTCGCTACTTCAAAAAGAACACCACGTTGTCTGCCCCTGCGATCAATTTCTGGGCTGGTGGAATCTCCGCCCAATGCTTCTGGCTCACTTCCTACCCGTCCGATGTCGTTAAGCAACGTCTTATGACCGACCCTATGGGTGGTGCGCTGAATGACGGCAAGCGACAGTTCCACGGCTGGAAGGACGCCGCAGCCGCTGTATGGCGTGAACGTGGGTGGAGAGGGTACTGGCGGGGCTTCGTGCCATGCTTCCTTAGAGCGTTCCCGGCGAATGCAATGGCTCTGGTTGCGTTCGAGGCTGTGATGCGTACCTTGCCCTAACTCCTTCATGGTCTACACGGACCCAAAAATCATTGATATACCAAATCTTCATAACTAGATAATTACTTAGAGTAGAATAACATACCCATTGTTTGTGCACTACTTGCCCCTGAGGGGTGTTGATCGCTCAGGGCAGTCCGTGATCAGGAATGTACATGTATGTGGCGGCGTGCCGCATTCGGCGATGAGACCCTTCTCCTTGAAATATCCTCCGATAACACGGACGAGTTACAAAGCCCGGGCGCATATTTCCAAATCCCGAGCGAATGGCGATGTGTAATTGGACCATGCAACTGGATTGTGATCTAGGATGCCGATGTGATCTCGGCCGTCGTTGACGGGTCCTTGATAGTGAAGTGACATGGGTTCCAAGGTTGTCTTGGTTTGTCTCGTTCCGGACAGGGCAAAGAATCAAAGTCATTTATAGAAGTTCTCCTTGACATTTTCAATCTTTTTTACGCCAAAATTACTTTTCCATTGTTGTACCAGGGGAGGAATTGAGGCAAGGTTGAATAACCCTGGTTCCTGAGTGCCTGAGGCATTACCGCAGACTAAACGTCAGCGGTTTCACCGGACAGCAACACGTTGCAAGCTCCAAATTAACACTGATCGGCCATGGCCGTTGCACGCTCCATGCGCCGCACGAGCCCAATAAGCCTCGTGCTGGCAGCGCTGCTGGCATTTGGCTTCATATGTTTCATGCTCTCGCCCTCGACTCCCTCCCCATCATCCACATCCGCTAGCTCCCAGCAGCGCCAGGAAAACGCCGCCGAACACCCTCTCTCCCCACCCACGAAGCCCTTCTTCAAATCACAGGCAATTCGAAGCGATGGATACAAGGCAGCTCCCCCGGTTGTCCACTATGACCTCAATAACCTAACCAACACTGCGGACTCAGTCGCCAACGGCGAGCGGGTCCTCATCCTTACCCCACTAGCTCGGTTCTACCAAGGATATTGGGATAACATTGAGAGGCTGACTTATCCACACGAGCTGATCTCCCTGGGATTCATCGCACCGAAGACAAGCGAGGGAAACGCTGCAGTTGCGGCTCTAGAAAAGGCCATTGCCAAGACGCAATCGGGACCAATCGACAACCGCTTTGCAAGCATTAGTATCCTGCGCCAAGACTTTGACCCCCCATTGAAATCACAGGATGAGAAAGCCCGCCATGCAATGGCCGCGCAGAAAGAGCGTCGCGAGTCGATGAGCCGTGCGAGAAACAGTCTTGTTTTTACAACGCTCGGCCCCGGAACTTCATGGGTCCTCTGGCTGGACAGTGACATCGTCGAGACACCGGCCTCTCTCATTCAGGACTTAACATCCTTTGATCAACCTGTTATTGTGCCGAACTGCTTCCAGCGCTACTATGATTCCTCGAAGAAGAGATGGGATATCAGGCCTTATGACTTCAACTCTTGGGTTGATAGCCAGACCGCGCAGAATCTCGCCGCGAACATGGGGCCTGATGAGATTCTCTTGGAAGGCTACGCTGAGATGCCTACTTATCGCACCCTGATGGCACACTTGCCAGACATGAAAAAGCTTGATCCAAAGAAAATGCTTGCTCTTGACGGTGTTGGTGGTACGGCCTTATTGGTCAAGGCTGATGTGCATCGTGACGGCGCCATGTTCCCCGCCTTCCCGTTCTTCCATTTGTTGGAGACGGAGGGCTTCGCAAAGATGGCTCGAAGACTGGGATATGAGGTCATTGGACTCCCCGATTACTTCGTATGTTACGCTTTTCGTTTAGTCTGCAGAGAAGGGGATAATTTTGCTGACATGCTTTTTAGGTCTACCATTATAACGAGTAATGGCATCAAGCCTCGTCCAACGTCTATCTCGTTTGCATACATTGCGCTGTGCGTGTTTCGACATCTTTTTCACCTCTCGCTACTATTCGAGAGATTCATTAGCAACATTCACCTCGGCGTCCGTCCTTCCGTTGAAGGGGGTTTTTCTTATTTCATATGTACTTGGGGTGGTTACTTCCCCAAATCCCAAAATTGACTTTGCATTCTTCTGTGTATTACCAAGGAATATGGCTGGGCATTCATTCATGTTGGAGAGGAGTTTGTTATAGGGGTGTTGCTGGCTTGATGGTTCTTGTGCATTTATTTTAAGTCTAACGTGGCTATCGCCATCTCAAATGAACGGTTACTTATTCGTGCAAGATAAATCTAGATTTTCATATATAAAAAAGCATCATGGTATCTGGCTGAACAGGCGTTGGTCTATTATCAGTTGGGGGTCACACATCCTTTTTCAGTGGACCAAACGCATGGAATTTTATCGTTGCATCAAGGCTCAATAGTGCTGGGCACGGTATGATACTGCGGGTGTATCCCATACACCAATGTCCAATACAACTGAATCAATCCCAAGAGATACTATAAAGTGTGTAAGCGATAATTGTGCCACCATAGCCTTGAGGGGGTACCTAAACAACAAATACTTACGCAAGCATAATGCCGGCGCCAAGAGCAACAGCCAAAAACTGTGTGATAGTCTTGCGCACTTCAACACCCTTATTCTTACCAGTTTCCAGCAAATCCGGAATCACAGCCACGGTGCCAACATACAAAAATGTGCCTGCCGTGAACGGAAGAAGCATGTCTCCCCAGGTAAGGCTAGTTCCCATAAGACCAGTAGGCTCGGTATCTTCCAACATGGTACCATTTCCACCAAACTCCTGAACGGCAATACCAATAAGGGTACCCAAGAATGCACCAATAGCGGTAACAAATTGGGCGCCCATGGCCTTGCGCTTCGAGAAGCCGGACTGAATAAGCAGAGCAAAGTCACCGACTTCATGGGGGATTTCGTGGAAGAAGACGGCCACAGTGGTCGTCGCGCCAATGGTGGGGGAGGCATAGAAGGAAGAGGAAAGGGCAAGGCCATCGGTGATGTTGTGGGTGAAGTCAGCGATGAGGTTAAGGTAACCGCCAAGCTTGACACTGGGGTTGATTTCCTTCTCGGGAACGACCGCAGAGGACTCCTTCGCAGCAGAGTTGCGCTTCTTCAGCTCGCCGATGGACTTGTTAGTCTCAGCGCCAGATGTAACTGCAGCAATTGGCTCGGCGGGCGCGTGGCTGTGCGAGTGGTCATGGCCACCCTCGCCGCCAGTCGCGATGCGCAAGGCCTTATCCATTGCGACAAAGGTGAAGAATCCAATCATGATTCCCAGTCCGAGAAGAAGGTTCCTGTTTGGCTCAACCATTACGAAGCTCACATGGTCGGGAGAGGCTTCGCCGACGAAGATTTCAGGGAGTAGGTGGAAGAGGGTGTCGCCAAGTAAGCCGCCGACAGCAAATGCGACCATCACGGACAGTGAGGAGGGGTCAATGTTGGGTGGGCATAGCGCTAGGAGGAAGTCTAGAGCAGTCAGCAAAGACCTATCGCGAGTCTTGAGGTGGAGACATACTAGGTGGACCGGAGATATACAAAGTTGCCAAAAGCGCGTTCACGGCTGGAGTGCTCGGGAAGAGGACAGCGAAGATCTTCGATGTCAGGCTTGCAGTCTCTGGGCGGTTTGCACGTTTGTGCTCATTGAGAGACTCAACCAGGGGACAACTCTGTGGCGAATTAGTTCACATGTAGGGCGCAAAGTACGTTGTACAGCATACCTGCAATTGCTCCTCGATCTGGGCCACGGAGAGCTTTCCGGGGCCAACATTAGCCGCGGCCAAGGCTGAGAACAGAAGACATCCCGCAACAAGGGCAATGCCTGTTCTGCGTGAAGGAAAGAAACGAGAAGCCATTACAAAGGAATTGGCTAAGTTTCCGTACAGTGACAGGGGATATAGCCCACGGAAGTACAGCTGAGCCGCTATCATTGTTTATCGCGGGACCGCGGGCAAACATGCCAAGACATCCATTGCAAACTCGGGAAAAAAAGTTTCGATAACGCTTTTTATTATCGCCGACTACAGCGAAGAAGAACCCATTTGATTTTTACATTCACCTCACAATTCACAATGGGTAAAGTTTTGCAAAAGAAGAAGGCCCGCTCTGGGCGCTCCATGGCCCGGGCCAAGGACAACCGCCTTAAGAGCGGCCACAAGAAGATCAATGTGCTGGGCAATCAGATCATCGCCGACAACTGGTATGCACATCTTGCTCGCTCTAGAAAATACAAAATGCTAACCGTCTGTAGGGATCGTGATCTCACCCTGACACAAAATTACCAGCGCCTTGGTTTGATGCACAAGCTGAACGCACCATCCGGTGGCCGCGAACGCCTCCCCGGAAACAAGGACCAATACCCCGACAACAAGAACTCGCTGCACATCCGCGGTAGCGCCAAAGCAGCCGCAGCAAAGCTTGACCTCGGCGAGACACGAGTTGAGCGTGATCCAAAGACTGGCGCAATTTTGCGTGTCATCCACGACAACGAAGATAACATCGAAGTCGCGGGTCTCCAGCGCTCGCGCAACAACCCGCTCAACGACCCTCTGAACGACGTTTTGGCAGGCAATGGCGACAGCAACCCTCTCGCGGACTCATTGATTGTGCAACAACTGGAGCGCCAGGCGGATCAGGAGGGCAAGACTGTCCGTGCTAAGAAGCCGCGGTACCAGAGCTCGCGCGAGGGCGAGTGGGCTCAGCGCCTGATTGAGAAGCATGGAGATAACTATACTGCTATGACTCGTGACCGCAAGCTGAACCCTATGCAGCAGAGTGAGGGTGATTTGCGGAGGAGACTTACCAAGTGGAAGAAGAGTCAGTCGTAATGCCTTGTTCATTTGTTCTGAGCATCTGGTTAGGGCGAGTCTGGCGTTTATCTTTTTGTGTTTATCAAAAGTGTCTACATGGATACGTGTGTCCCGAAGTAAATATTATTGGACGGCAACTGAGCCGCTTGGATTCGTTATCTCGTGTTTCCTATTCCCTTTAGCTATTACTAGTGAGTGTCGAGTAGGTGACGCCCGCCGGCGGCGGAAGGCTTATTCGTTGCACCACTCGAACCCATCGTCGGCGTCTCCATTCACCCACTCCGTATGACGCGGTCCCTTCCTCCCAATCCCGTAATTTCGCTTTCTCCTTCTCCTTCCCTTTCTCCTTGAATTTGGTTTCTTTGGGAGATGGCGAGTCAGGCAGGTCTCCGTAAGCTAACGTCAAATCATCATCTGACTCCTGCCGAGTTGGAGGCAAGTCCCAAACCCAACCGCCAACTTCTCCGACAATGGCGTTGCCTTCTGGATTCACGCCTGGGACCTCGAACCCAACACTGGTGATCATGCGCTCCACCACCCATTCACGGCAGTCCAAGTCGAGTTCCCACTTCTTGCTCTTCCAAGCCCAGCCACGTGGCGCACGGACATCCTCAAAGAATCGGCATCCACGAGGTCGGTCCCCGGCAATGCGAGATGGTGATAGCGGGTCGTATGGCGCGTGACTGAATAGGAAGCTCTCCCATCCAGACTCTGATGTTCCTGCAGCCCGGTGCTGCAGCTCAAAAATTTCCACCTCCCGCTCTTCGGGATATGTGTCCAAAGAGATATCTGCAAGCTTTTCCATGGCTGACATCGCTGCAGATGGATCTGCAGGGACCGATGAGCCGAATCCATTATTGTCTGAGTCTGTGTCTATGGAATCCCCCGTCATGTCTTCCATCAGACTGGAGAGGAATTGCCCCACCGTTGGATGGATGGAGAGAACCAACGCATTGCCGCCAACAAGCACCACAATTTTGAGGGGTAGTAGATGTGCACTGATGAACAACACTACTGTAGCTATTGTGCATCCGAGAAATAGAGTTGAAGAGAGCTTCTCATTGGAGAAATTTGTCAGCGGTGCAATAACATTGATAGCTGCATCGTGGGCATCTGAGAAATCAGCCATGCAGTTCTGTAAATCCCGCATGTTCCGAAGAAAATCTTTGGATGTCTCTGGGGCTGGCTTGATAGTTGTGGCTGGTGCCAGGGCTGGACCATCAAAGGAGTAGTAAGGAGTAGTGCTAGACGTTGAGGAGTTTGGAGGTGGTGGATGACGGGTTGCAAAGGCCGGCACCATTATAAAGAGCAATAGAACCACCAGGGGCAAAACAAACAGTAGGTGAGGTTGCAAGCAGATGAAAGAGTAGACAAAAAGGAAAGAGAGAGTATGGGTTGGTGTATCCCAGGTGAATAATTGCTCAACACGGCTCTGGAACAGAAATACCACACCTATTCTATAGTATTTTTTTTTTGAGTTTTAGTAGATATAATAGAGGATCATTCAGTCATACCTTGCATTAAAGCGGCGGAAATTGTTTGCCATTACAGGCAAACTGAAAGCTGGTTTCTTAGGAGAGGCAAATGCCTTGTCTCCCATTGAATCAGTTTCATCCTCATCGTCTGTTGGGATGACTTGCTGGAGGAGCCTACAGGGGTCTGTTAGAACGCCTCACATATTGAAGATTCCAAGCATACTTTGTAAATAGGCGGTCCTGCAGTGAGTTCTTGGATAGAGAAGAGGATCTCGAATGCGAGCTGTCTGGTGAACCAGGTGTATTTCGTTTTGAAACCTTTTCGTTCAGGGATTCTGTAAACACATCCATGTTAATAGGCGTAAGAAGAATAAAGGAAGTAAAAATAAGAACAGAATAACTGTCAGAACCCAAGCACATGCTTTTGCCGATCACAGACTGGGGGAATGATGACATAATCATGTTTGCATCAGGGGGGAACCTCGAATTTGATAGTTCACACTAAAAGAGAAACATCTTTTGTCTGGACTTCTTTTTTTTTTTTTTCTCTCTCTTTTTTTTGATATAGATACATTTGTTCTATCTGTGATCATTCATATCTATCTTCGATTTCATCTAAGTATCCCCTTTGTTGATGGGGGGTTACTTATAAAATCCACCTTCCCCCCCCCCCAAAATTTACCTTCTTTTTCCCTGTTACCGCCTTAGTGGACTTGCCCCAGCAACCCTCCCCCAAAATTATCAAAGAGAACTTGCCTTGGCCCTCATTGCTTTTTTACTCGCAATGGAACGGTAGTTGTCAAGAGTCGCGCGAAGGTGCTCAAAGTATCTCTTGGTTTGAGACCTCGCACTTCTCCTGAATGCAATTGCGATCGCATCTCCTTTTCCGTTTGAAAACGCGCGAGCTTTAAAAACAATGCCGACAAAACCTCAAACACCGAGGGGTCAACTACGGACCGAAGCTCAAGCACACAATCCCTCCAATGATGATTCGGGTTCGGGAGGTAGGAGTTCAGATGTCGGGAAGGTGCAGCTAGATATTGACAATAAACAGAGGCTCCCGCCCGCAGGCGCCTGCAAAAGTCAGCCTCGACCAATTTCCCCTCGAACAACACCAATTTTGATACCTCAAACGGGATCGCCGGACCACGTGCAGGCGGGATGAACAGGAGGAGACTTTCAATTCGTGACCAAAGGGTTCCTCAGGGTCCACGACCGCAAGACGCTTCGCGATGGAGGTATCTCAAGTCATTCTATTTATTGTGACTGACTTTGAACTAACTCGATATCTAGCAAACCTGGCCCGTACCTTCATTCTGGGAACTCCTCTGTTGATTCCACGATTGATTCGACCAAAAGCTTCAACCTTCGATCTACGAGTGTTGGGAACCTGTCAAAGGCTAGCCCCAATCCTACAGACAATATAGAATTCCTAGCGCCGGTCAACTTCGATGATTTCCACAACAGCATTATGGGCGAACCGAGCTTGAACCACTTCCCCATGCCTGGGAATGGCAGTTCAGGTGAGAATCGTGAAACCGGTCTGACGAATCCTTGGGAAAACCACACGTACGCGGGCAATGTATCGGAGCGTACACGGGGCCCTTCGACTCGAAGAAAGAGTGAAGTGCAACGACCGAATGGTACGAATGCCGCTGCAGGACTCACGGCATCCTCTGCCAATACCCGCGCCCGCCGTCAGAGTATAGCCCAGCCATCTACTGCAAGCACTTCAAGGAGCTCGCGCAAATCTATCAGCTCTGGGGCATTTGCGCCTACCAATGCTTCGGCCAGACGCGCCAGTCTAAGTGCTCGCAAAGCCAGCACGGACACCGCCTCGACGAATAACTTCCTTCGCCCCCGACTCCCAGAGTCTGATGCCAAGGTTCCGTCTTCTGTTCGGAACCTCAAGGCAAAGTCATTTCAGCCCAGTCCAAGGGAACCCCGTGGTCCGTTTTTGACTGCCTCTGGGGCCATTGACCACACACGCTCAAATTCCACTAATGCCGTACGGACCCCGGTCAGAACCCCTTCTAGCGCCGTGGCGACTCCTTCTTCAACCTCCAAGCGGGCTTCTGTTATGCCACCACATGCTACTGGACTCGGCGCTCGAACGATAAGTCCCACTGATGCGCGAAGACTGAAGCGAATGTCGATTGCGCCTGGTGCTCCTCCGATGCCGCATACACCTCCCACCCAGTCAGAACCTCTTCCCATCCGCCCTCTATCGTCAACTCAATCTCCCTCTCAAATTCCGAGGAAAAGCGTCACACCTTCCTCGAACCGAACCACGCCTGACCCAAATCGTAAGTCGTACAGTTCAGGGTTGTCTGTTTCCTCCGGCACCAGCTATAGCTCAGTGCGAACTTCTGGGAGCTCCATTCAAAACCGGCTGTCCCAAAATCTATCTTCATCACGACTCCCGACGCCCAAGCCCCGTACAGAGCAAACAAACTCCAACGGGGAAGAGGTACCGCCGGTTCCAGCAATTCCCAAGGCCTATGAATCACCCAAAGGTGAACTGGATGCGCCTGTCTTTCCCGCGCCCAGAAAACCAAGCATTCCTGTGGATTTGAGCCTTATGAATATTAAAGATTCGGACTCCGAAGCACACACAACCGCCCAAGTTGATAACGTTGACCCCGCCGAAACGACAACTCCTGATTCACGGTCACGAACTTCGACTGTTATGGGAGGACGGAAGGGTTTGCAGCCCTTGAAATTGCCCCCACTGAATTTGTTGCCTTTGGGCACACCAATGACGACCAAAATTGAGGCACTCAAGGATAGGGACGATGAGCGCAAAGCCCACACACCCTCCAACCAAGTGGTTTCAAAGACGCCTAGTACTCCGATGACAGCATCTAAGGCGAATTTCTGGTACCGTGATGAGGACGACCAAATGCCACTCACCCAAGCACGAAGCAGTACCTCTCATTTTGTCGTCAGCTCATCAACCGCCGCGTTGCGAGCTTCTAGCAGTAGCAGTGCGTTCGAGTCGTTTGACACGCCAAGTGCAGCTCGCAGCATTTCTCCCTATGCCTCGTACACGCTGCCCAAGAGCGGTGCCGAGCTTAACCATCTCCGCCATCAGGTCAGCGCCGACTACTCGAATCGGACGCAGCCACACAAGTTGAATGGGCCACGACCTCAGACGCAAAGTGCCATCTTCACACCCGCACCAGAACGGCTCAGCCAGATATCGACGCCTAGCCAGGTATCGACGCCTTCGGAGCCTGAGAGTGTTACTGTCACTGCATCCAGCTCCTCTCTTCGGGACCGGCTCAAGGTGGCGCGGCTTCGCAGCAACTCGAAGCCCCAAAAGCCAGACATCGATACCGATCCAGCCAAGCACAACCATATGCCCCCGCCTAAACTTCCAGCCTCTGCGACATGGAACAACCTGTCTTCAGTCAACTCGACCAGCCCTAGTCTCAAGCCATCGTATCTCAATCCTCGCCGTCAGTCTTCTATTTCAAGTGCAGCAAATCCGACGACTCGAAAGCCAAGTGTTAGCAGCGAGAAAAGTCTCGCCCTGGAGCCAACCCCATCCAATGAGTCGGGCGAAGGCGACCGCTCTAGACGCGTGCAGAGCGCGTATATCTCTCCTGTTCACAAGATGATTAATAACGCTAGATCTAATGTTGCGGCTGCTTCACGGTCTCCGGACAGAACCGTTGATCCAGATGTGGCGATTGCAGATGAAGAGATGAAACGACTTGGGTCTAAGCGCAAAGACTTTGAAAAGGCAGCTCGTGTGCTAGACGACTTGCGCCGTAAGGCTGGACCAAAGGATCGTGTCAGTCCCGCCCAGGCCTTGAAAATGGCAACGCTTAACATCTTTGAACGCGGTGAGATCATCGATTATCGCGATATCTACTTCTGCGGTACCCAGACTGCCAAGAAGCATGTTGGAGATCTCCACTCCGGCGCAGCGAACTTTGGCTACGATGATGACCGTGGTGATTATAACATTGTTATCGGTGACCATCTGGCTTACCGGTACGAAGTTGTTGATGTCCTGGGCAAGGGGAGTTTTGGCCAGGTTGTGCGATGCGTCGATCACAAGACTGGGGCTCTAGTTGCGATTAAAATAATTCGTAACAAGAAGCGATTCCACCAACAGGCCCTGATTGAGGTCAACCTTCTACAAAAACTGAAGGAATGGGATCCCCATGGCAAACATAGTGTGGTCAACTTTACCCAAAGCTTCTACTTCCGTGGTCATTTGTGTATCTCGACTGAACTCCTTGGCATGAATCTTTATGAATTCATCAAGGCCCATGAATTCCGGGGCTTCTCGTTGAAGCTGATCCGCGTTTTTACCAAGCAGATGCTTAGCAGTCTTGTGCTGTTGCATGCGAAGAAGGTCATCCACTGTGACTTGAAACCTGAAAACATTCTTCTCGTTCACCCGCTGAACTCTGAAATTCGGGTCATCGACTTTGGTTCAAGCTGTTTTGAGAATGAAAAGGTCTATACCTACATCCAGAGTCGCTTCTACCGTTCGCCCGAGGTCATCCTCGGAATGTCGTACGGCATGCCGATAGACATGTGGAGTTTGGGCTGCATTTTGGCTGAGTTGTTCACTGGTTATCCCATTTTCCCAGGAGAAAATGAGCAAGAACAGCTTGCTTGTATCATGGAGGTATTTGGCCCTCCAGAGAAACATCTCATTGAAAAGAGCACACGCAAGAAGCTGTTCTTTGATTCTCTCGGCAAGCCGCGTTTGACTGTTTCATCCAAGGGACGCCGACGTCGTCCGAGTTCCAAGGAGCTCCGACAAGCCCTGAAGTGTGACGATGAAGCCTTCCTTGACTTCATCAGTCGCTGCCTTCGTTGGGATCCTGCTCGTCGAATCTCGCCCCACGATGCGTTGAAACACGAATTCATCACTGGCGTCAAGGCCCCCCGGCCCAGGATGTATTCAACCAACTCACCCTCCAAGCGAGGTGTTAGCTCCACGGCTCGACCTCTTCCAGATCCTCCAAGCACAACGCTGAAGAGCGGGTTTATGCGCACTCGCGATGCTTCTGCCACTTCCCCGGTCAAGGGTAGCAGCAAACGACACTCGACCGTGAATGGTCCTCCGTCGAGCCCCGGCAAGCGAGGGTCTAGCAATTCTACAACTACCGGCTCCGCACTCCCTCGCGTTTCGGCGCGGAGTCTCAGCGGGAAGCCAGACCTCGCTACTGCGGCTGCTGCGACAAGCCTGGTGAGTTAGGCCAGTGACTTGAACCATAGAATGGGATGCTGACTAGCCAACAGAGGAAATGATTTTACACGTATTTTTTTGCTGAATGCCCTGTAATACTAACCCTGTTCTTTTTTTTTTACTTTCTCCTTGCATCGGGTGGTTGTCATGTCAGCATTTTGAGATGCAATCATGTTATACCCCTTGTTCCTGCATTTGCATTGCGTGATGACCTGAGTATCGCTGATACCTTATGTTTTGCTCATGCTTAGCTCTTGCTTATGCATTTTCCTTCGTTTCATACTTGATGACTTCGATTCAGGGCTGTGTGGTCCCTTTGTACATTGTTACCTCTCATTGCATTTCTTCCTGTGATGTATTGCTCATGAGTAGAGCGATTTAACGTGTCTGGCTTTTGCTTATGCTGAATTAATGATGTGATTTTAATTAATTTTAGACCTAATATATAAATAGTATAATATAAAGAATTAAAGAATGTTGATGTTGATGTATGTAAGACCGGCATGTCCCCACTAGGCAATTGGACTACTTGGCCTCATCTTTATTTACTCCGCACAACTTTCAGCCTTCATGGATAATTGATTCGCAATGAATGGCTTCGAATCTAAGGGCTTGAACGAAGATGCCTTCGGGGAGAAGTCTAGTTTATCTGCGCTAAAGACCTTCGATGCCTTTCGTAAGTACCTCGAAGTTCAATCTAAACAAGTTACTCACGTTCACCAGCCAAAACCAAACCCTCCTACACAACCCCAACCCGCAGCGGCGGCCAATGGACCGTCCTAATCTTCATCGTATGCACGATCTTCAGCTGGTCAGAGTTAAAAACATGGTGGCGCGGCACCGAAAACTACCACTTCAGCGTTGAAAAGGGCGTCTCGCATGAGCTCCAACTAAACCTCGATATGGTCGTGCACATGCCCTGCGACCAGCTCCGCGTGAATATCCAAGATGCAGCCGGTGACCGCATCCTAGCCGGCGAGCTCCTCAAACGCGACGACACAAATTGGGCCCTCTGGATGCTGAAGCGCAACTACGAGACCAGCGACGGCGCCCACGAATACCAGACCCTCTCCCACGAAGAATCCGACCGTCTCGCCGAACAAGAAGAGGACGCCCACGTCCGCCATGTTCTCGGTGAAGTGCGCCATAACCCACGCCGCAAGTTCGCCAAGGGCCCGCGCATGCGCCGCGGCGATGTCCCAGACGCGTGTCGCATCTACGGAAGCCTCGAGGGAAATAAGGTGCAAGGTGACTTCCACATCACCGCGCGCGGCCACGGGTATCGCGAGAACTCCCCGCATCTGGATCACTCTTGTATGTATTCTCCTTAAACCATCAATATACATCGCTAACAGCTCGCCAGCCTTCAACTTCTCCCATATCATCACGGAGCTCTCCTTCGGTCCGCATTACCCGACCCTGCAGAACCCGCTCGACAAGACTATCGCCGAGACCGAGGAGCACTACTACAAATTCCAGTACTTCCTTTCCATTGTGCCGACGCTGTACAGCCGAGGCAAGGGCGCGCTAGACGCGTACACGCGCTCGCCGGAGACTGCGGCTTCGCAATACGGGCGTAACACCGTCTTCACAAATCAGTACGCGGCAACCAGCCAGTCCAGCGCGATCCCTGAGTCGCCAATGGTTGTGCCGGGCATCTTCTTCAAGTATAACATTGAGCCGATCCTGTTGCTGGTCAGCGAGGAGAGGGCGGGCTTCTTGTCGCTACTGATTCGGGTTATTAACACCATTTCAGGCGTGCTTGTTACTGGCGGCTGGCTTTATCAGATTACTACTTGGGCTGGCGAGGTCTGGGGCCGTAGGAAGAGTAGGTCATCTGAGGGTTACTTGACGGGCAAGACTTCTAGCGATTGAATTGGACTACTATTTTTGTTTTGCTTCTTTTTTAGCTCGAATGTTTTACATGTCTTACTATATCCGTGTTCTATCAGGTATTCTACATCAATTGCATCAGTGAGTTCATTGTATTAAACTTCATTTGTCAACTCCACCTCGTGGTATATAGTAAATGATCGTACATCCCGCACACATGATGATAAAGTAGACACTACTAAACCTCAAAAATTTCGCCCATGCCTACGCCCGCACCTTCTGCACCGGCACGGCTATCGACCAAGTCTAGACGCCAGCCGTTCCAGTCACGCAGCTTGCTCTTGATATCGCGCATCCACTCAACACGCTTGCGGCCTTCCTCTTCAGCCTGCGCACGCGCAAATGCTTCTTCGTCGAACTCATCATCAAAGTTTTCTTCGGAAACAAGCTCGAGACTACCACGGGTACCAGGAGGGTGAGACGGGTTAGACGATGAAGCGCGAGCGCGGTTGCCAGCAGCTCCTGTAAAGGCAGCAAAGCCGCTAGAAAGCACTGTGGAGAAGGAAGAGTGTTGGTTCTGGGCCATGCTGCGGCGGCGGGCATGGTCTGGTCGTCCACCAACGAGATCCACGTCGTCGAATGCATTGGCTGCATCGCCGGAGCCAGGGCTGGGTCCGTCATCTGGGTAGTATTCCATTTCCTGGCGCTTCTCTTGCCAAACACCGCGGCGCAGATCGAAGACCTCGCCTTCCAGCTCACGGATACGGCGCTCAAGGCGCTGGCGTTCTTCATCCTCGAGCTCATCCAGGGCGTCGTCGTCGGCTCCTCCACCGACCTGGCGAGTTCGGATCCGATCGCTCTCTTCGCGCAGGCGGAGATTCTCATTCTCGATGCTGGCGATTTTTTTCCGCATGACAGCGATTTCTTTGTCGGATTTCTCGCTCTCGCGTAATCGTGTTTGGTGTCGGGCTTCGGTTTCTTTGTGAAGATTGCCTATTGCCTGGACTTTCTTGTCCAGGGTCTCAATCTTCTTTTCTAATTCGCTCTTTTCGTTCTTGTGCTCCTCTATCTCGCGCTTGAGATTATTGATCAGCGTTTCAGTAGAAGTCTTATCGACGCCTTCCTTGACTGCTTTCTCGGACGCCCGCGTTAATGCCTGCTTAGTGTCTGCTAGCTCACGCTGGGATTGCTCTAGTGCTGATTGGCTCTTTGAAACCTTCTCCTCTAGCGCTGCGACCTGAGACTCGTGTGCATCGTTAGAAGATGTTTGGGAAGTGACCTGGGCACGGAGATTCGAAATCTCCAACTCCATGGACTCAATAGTGGCTGACTTGGACTCGAGCTGGCGAACAAGGTCGGCTGGCGGTGATTCTGTTGTACTTGTGTTTCGATGTGACCGGGTCTGGAGCTGTGCGTTTTGTCGCTGGAGGGAAGCAATTTCCTCTTTCTATTCCGCAGGTTAGCAAAGATAACGACCACACGAAACAATGTTCCATACCAACGACTCAATGCTTGCAACTTTCTCCTCTGCCTTCTTCAATTGCTCCTTCAACTCTACGCCATCAACACTCGCTTCCCGCAGATCCTCCACTTGCTCCTCAGTCTTGCGCCAGCGCAAAGTTGCATCCGCGAGATCCTTCTCCAATCGTTTATTATCTTTCTCGAGCTCCTCAATCTTAGTCGACTGTTTGCGGAAAACTTCATGGACCGACTCCCCGTCACCGGTTAGGGGCGGTAATGATTGTGCGGGGGACTTAGTCGTAGCAGACGGAGAGGGGGAAACGCTGCCCTGTGAGACGGAAGTCTTTCGGAATGAAGATGAGCGCATCTTTGACTGGATTGACAGCGAAGGTTGTCGGCCGTGGTTGGCGCGGGGTGTATCGAGGCGAACCGGCAGCGGCTCAGCCTCTGGATCGGGAGATGTGGGCGCTGGAGGCATCGGTTCCGTGGGAGACCCGATATTCGTATCAGTGGCAAGTTGCGATTTTGATTCCTCTGGTTCCTCTGGTTGTTCGGGAGCTGCGGCCTCGGCTTGCGCGATGGGCTCATCTTGCGTGTCTGGCTTCTCCTCCGCGGGGGTGTCTGCCTGCGGTGTTTCTGGGCTCGGGGCATCTTCAGCAGGTTCTATCTCTGTCGGGGCCTCTGCCTCCTTGGTGGTGTCCGCTTCAGTGGCGGGAGTCTTCTTAGCCTTCTTTTTCTTCTGGAGCTGGGCAACCTGAATAACAACAGTCAAGTTAGCGACCAAAACAACGCCATCTGTCACTCCCGAAGGATTACCCTTTTCTTGGCTGCGGCCAGTTTCTCGGCTTTGATGCGCTCCTCGTCGGCCATAATGAATCGTTTGATTGTATGAATCCAATCAAATGGGGGAAGGTGATGAGGTGGAAGGGAGAGAATGGGACAGCTTTCCCCAACGCACGGACCACCTGTGATCTATATGCCCGAATTGGATGTACAAATGTGGTATCAACTAGAAATGCGCCAGATAATTACTTACAACCGTATAGATCTGATTGTATACAACTTGATAACATCATAAATACACACGCTGGTGCCATATAAAGGACACCGCCATGTTGAGGTACTGCAGGCCCCTGTCAACCTCCAGCCTCATTCACTCGTTAGGGAGTTAAAGCATGGAGGGTCCATCTGGAGGCTTTTTACATGCGTCACAGAGAAACGCCATCGCCGCAAAGCCGTCATCTCTTGTGGCTGATTGATATATGGACTGGAATTAAGTATGCCCTAATCGTGGTGTTTAACAGACCCGAACTATGGGAGATGGCATATAACTCTTCTCCCACTTTTCCATCGGGCCAATGTACTGGGAATGATCTGCTCTACTTTGAGACTGAGATGAAAAATTACGGTTGTGTCGGCCATATTCTTCGTTGCTCAGCAGATACTAGAGGTTGTGATTCCTGAGCATGCCCGTGTTTATACGATCCATATTGAACACTTGCCCGGGAAGGGCAAGGTTCGTGATGTCAACGATTTCGGAGTGACAAAGGCACATACAGCGCTGTTTGGGGCATACGGAAGACTGCTTCGCTGTCAGGATAGAGTCAGCGATAACATTTGAGACGAATGGAGTTCTCAAGAAGCAAAGAGGTTAACTTCCTAAAATAAACCAACAAATCTGCATTAGGCTGCGCAAATCCAAAGAATAGACATAGGTGATATTAGACAGTAAGTCACAAAAAGTTGAGAGGGGTTGTCGATATTGTCTGTTTAACAACGCCCCTCGTGAACCAAAACCATGCAAGTTGATTGCGCCTGTCAAAAAAAAACATTAACCCAACACCCCCGGCTAGAAAGATCATACCCGATCAACGGGGCCAAAAGAATACAAACAAGAAACGAATAAGAAACAAAAGCGCATAAGCCAAATTATTTGGTTTATATTAGACTTCCATCGAGTCCGCAATTTCCTCACTCATAGCCCGGACTCCACGACGGTTGATTGGCAGATTTTCGTCATCGTCACTAATCACATAAGCGTCGTAGTCGTCCGTGGTCCGAATTGTCTTTGGAGGACGATCCATCTCATCATCACTGTCGCTAGCAACAAATCTGGCGCGTTCTCCAAACCAGAACTTGGCACGCTTGCTGGAGCTGAGGTCGGGCGTGAGGTAACCGTCGTCGTAGGTCCGCTTCCCAGTAGGTGTAGTTGACATCTCGTCTGGGGTGTGGCTGAGTATGGGAATCGCACGCAGGAAGATGTAACAAACGCGCTTGCGAATCGGGTTGAAGAAAAAGAAGTGCAGACTCCAGATAGCTCCATCGTCAGCATCGGACGGGTCCTCCTCTGGCGAATATGAGTAAATTGAACATTCCTTGAGCGACATGTGTTCATCTATCGTTTTCCACACCCTTGGGCCCCATGCAGAGGATGATCCTGCCGTGTATGATCCAGAAAGTGTCGCAGGTGATGCGGGAGACAAGTTAGTGTTCTCACGTGGTCGCAGGTTGAGCAGGGTTGAATCGATTGTGTTCATGACGCGCTTCAAATTCCGCTCGCGTCGGAAATCGGTGGGTCGCAGGACTTGGGAGAAGTCGTAATCTGGATGACTCGCGTTCAGAGTGGCAATCAGATAGGCAAACGTCCGTCGGCTCGAATGGTCGCTTAGGGGTCCGAATGGGCTAGATCGCGATAGATTAAGAGTCTCGGCGGCATCGTGTGCATTTGGAGGTGACAGTGAAGCCGAAAATCGAAGAACTGATTCATATTGAGCCTCAAGCGACTGTTCAATATGATTGTAGAGTTTCCGATCGGAGCGTGCCGCCTTTGTCGTGTAAATATCACAGCCCCCGACGATGTGACAGTCAGTCGTATCGAAATTGAGGGAACTGGTTACATCCTCGAACTCTGGAAGGGGAAGAAACTATAACACGAGGAGTGTGAGTAAACTGATCAAAAGACATGTGGGCTTGTGACTTTACCTTCATCGTGAGGTTAAACTGGGGTAGTGGAGTTCCCGAGATAAGCCGATAAGCACGCTGAGATGACGTGGCACGGTCTGCGATGCAAAGAGATAGACTCGTATCTCTCTTCTGATGTAGATAGAGAGAGAGAGAGAAAGAGAGAAGAGCGAAGGATGGAGATGGAGGGAGAGGGGTGTTCGAACGGATGATTTAACCGGATAGGTGGAGATGCGATGATGTCGATCGGTGATAACCGCGAACAGGACTGAGATAAGGAGGTCAACACGAATAGGTTGGTCGCAGTACTTATAGCAACCAAGACAATTGTGAAATGAGAAGAGGTATATAAAAAGATGAAGATGAAAGCAAGAAGGGGAAGGTGGGAATGAATGAGAGGGGATCCGGAAGTAGTCACGTGTGGAAAGTGTCGGTCCAGTGAGAAGCCGCACTGACCTCACGAGCAGTCAAACCATGGAATGAGAAGTCACAGTCCAACTCGTTCCAAATTGCGTGAAATATCTTCTGAATCCTGAATTGTAAATTCTCAATTAGTATTGGTGAAGAACTCCTATGTACGCCCGAAAAGACACAATATGTTACATGATCTTGGTGACCACATCTTCCTCAACCTGGGGAATAATTAGCCCGGCTGAAACTTGGCCTTGGCTTGGAAAAAGGGGGTCCAAATATAGCTTTCCAATGACCTATAATGGAAAAAGAAATTCATGACTCACCTCCATATCTTCCAAACTGTCCTGTTGACTGATACAGCGAAGAACATTCTTCTTGCTGGTCTCCTGCATTTCCCCCGCAATCAATAACTCATCGAGAATAAAGTATGCTTTTTGGAAGTTGAAGATGATGTCCAGTTCGCAGACATTGCCGTAGTATTTGTCCATCTGCTCGACGTAGCGGTGCACAACCTCGAGGGTGATCAGCTCATTATCGGTCGAGGAACAGCCAGCGATGAAGAAGAGAGAAGCGTAGCGACGGTAGACGACTTTCGAGTCTAGAGGTGTAAGAGTCTGTTAGTCCAATTCCATCTCGGCGACAGGGGGTGCGGGGATAGAAAGCCACCTTTGTATTCCAGGAAATTGCACATCCGCGTCCGGCGGGACAGCACTAGTTGAGTGACATCTTTGATGATCTTGGCCTTCTCCTTGGGAGAGAGGGTGGTGAACCACTTGGCGAGGCGCTAAAGAAACGTTGTCAGTTGAGCTTCGGACAGGTGTTACGTAGTTGGGAGGCATACCACTTTGCCCTGTCGGGATAGTAGGATCAGGTAGCTGATCAGTCAGTAATTGCAAAGAACCCCGGGGTAATCATAGGACAATCTTACTTGACAGGCATATTGATAGAGATGTGAAAGGGATGGAGAAAAGTGTCAGGGCGGAAGCTCTGGAGAAATTCTTTGGGGTGGAGCAGAGGGGAGTTTTGCCCCGCTAAGCCTTTAGCTTATAACAATGTAAACGTGGAGATCTGATATGGAGTTGAGAATCTTGTTTCTGTTAAAAGTTCCCAATATTCCTGTGTTTTGCGCACGGGGACTTGAATGACTCAACCGTCGCCTCTACGGTATGACGGAGTACCGGCAGCTCTCTATATGCATAGAGGAAATTTTTTAAAAGTTACCAGAGCCTCATATACAGATTTAGAACTCTGCAATAAAAATAGGATAATTTCAGAGGCCTTGTTTTTTATTTTCCCTTGAATTATCGACGTGTATGATTTCACATAATGCTCTGAAGACATATACGAGTGAAGAATCTGAGATTTCACTTTTCAGGGTTCCATGCTCCAGCTCAAAGCAATGTCAATTGCTTAAAACGATATAATGGTTTGTTCTGACAGGCTGGTGATCTATAAAAACCTAAGTTGTATGGTGGAACATAACCGGGGTTACTCTCTTTTGGACTTGCCCTCAAGCCGAATAGATAGCCATAAGACTTTGTGGAAAGTGAATCAAAGAGACATCAAGCAGTAGCATAATGTGCTATGAATCGTAATAATTAAAATAGTCAACGCCAGGTGAAAACCGAAGGCGACTGACCAAAACAAATATTATTAATGGAATAAGTAATACCACATAAAGTATCAGAGTATCTCTCTCATACTCAAAACAGAGTCAGAAAGAGGCAGCGTTTCCATCGAATCGTGGCAGACATGAAACGAAGACATCACCCAAGAGCGAGCTCCAAGCTCGTAGATCGTACAAACATCTCAACCGTATACTGACATCACCCCCTCAACGCCATTTGACCAAAACCAGAATTAGAATCATAACTGTAACCATGATCCAATAGTATCCCAAATTACCAGGTAGTACATAACCGCGATAGAGAGCGATAACAACCAAGCTCAAAGCTCAGTCTACACTATGCACCTGTCTTCCCTAGCAGAGGCGCATTTAAACCTGGGCCATGTTGGGGGCCCGGCGGCTGCCAGTACGGCTGCTGCGCACGTTGGTGGAAGCAGAACGAGACATGAACACAGAGACAATGACAGATGCCATGTAGCCCGCCCAGGCGAACCAGAGGAAAGCAACAGAGGCTTGGGCTTCACGGCAGCGCTTAGACTTGTTGTTGGAGCCATTGGTGATCTCATTGCTATTGAGATATTCCTGTAAATGGGTCAGCGTCAATTTGCTCTCATGTCACACATTCACTGCGATCTTTCTAGTTCAACTCACCTGGTTGCTGCAAGAGTGACATTCCAGCTTCGCAGCGAGCGCGATGGCAGCGCAGAAGAAGAAAATGCAGTTCAGAGCGTCGAGGACGATCATGATGATCGGATGGAGGGCCCAGTCGATGTTGAATGAGGCCGGGATCAGGTAGAACAGCGTGAACATCGAGAAAACCGCTGTGTAGATCGAGTAGTTTACGGTCCCAGGGTTCCCGGCGAAGGCTTCAGCAATCATGTTACCGATAAGAGCCATAACGAGCAGGGTCCAAAGGAACTGCAAGTATAGTTAGTACTAAGCGACTCATAGCTTTCACCATTGCAAACATACCTCCCAGGCTCTAAGACCCAGCTGCACACCTCTAAGGCCCATTTTTGTAGATTTAGATTAGATCGTGACTAGATTAGGACGGAGTAGGGGTATAGGTTGCGATGAAAGAATAGTTTCAACATATAAAAAAAAAGCTACGGGAAAAAAGACGAGGTTATAAATCGGATGCTCCGGAGGTTGGTGATGACAGAAGCAAAGATCCCCAAAAGCTAAAAGTCGGCTCTACGTCATGCATCCGGGAATGAGCGGCCTTAATTGGACTTGGATGTAACAACTTGGATGTTCGAGACGAAAAATGAACGTTGCACTTGATCAATGATGAGTTATTGACTGAGTTTTTCTTCTTTTTCCTTGAGTCCCCGCTTTCAACATTCCGGTTTCCAAGATTCTTCTGAAATGGACATTCCATTGAATCTTGATGTCTATCATTTCCCATTTTTACCCTCGAAGCTTTAGTGTAAGCTTTGGATGTAGACCTGAAGAATTTGTAATGATATATATACCTGTTTAAATCTCAAAGGATCTCTAGAAAATAAAAATATATTATTCTGAGATGATAGATAACCCTCGATTTTGCGCTATTAGCACACTATAACCGACTGAGCTATGGAACCCATACTGGATGATTTAATTTGCGGATATTCGCCTCATACTTCAAATCTGTATCCTGGATTGAATTTCTAAGGGCCTTTTCATTTGGAATGATATGAACTTGCTTGCATGGATAGAAATAAATTCAATTGTAACTATGCTAGATCAGCACCGTTTAGCTCAACCATTGACTAGTTCTCCTTAAAGGAACTCTGCACAGATCCATATCTAGTGAGGTCAGTATTTTATATATTCCAAATCCAACTCATATACAACTCACCCTTGAGGGCACTGGCTACCCAATGCAAAACTACCACTGCGCATGTAACAGATCTTGGCCTTTTGGCACTTGGCTGTAGTACACTTGGGGCTCTTGACGCTCTGTTTCCCCTGATAAGTGTTATACAGACTAACGAGTTCCACGTCATTCTCCATGGCCTCAGTAACCCGGTGCCAGAAGGTCGCGTTCAACGGTGCATCCTCATCCCACCCAGCTGCCAGTCCATATGCATCGCGGGTGGAATATTCGATCTCAAATGTCGGACCTGTGTGCTTGAGAGTGGGGTAGTCCGACACATTGCTGTAGAAGGTGTATGCTTCGTAAATATTGAAGTCACCCGTATCCACCTCATACATACGGAAGCCACTGTTCAGGTTTGTCAGAGGGGTTATGCTGGGCATGATCCAACCGGTGGTAAGGGCGTTATCTGCATTCTGCACAGTTCCGTTGTTGGCATAGTAAACCATGAACTCATCCTCATGGGTGTGTCCGAAGAAGATGTTAGCAATGACGTGGGGCGAATAGCGGTCCACGATCTGGTAGAATAAATCGGTCGGGTTTGGGAGGGTATTGCTCCCATCCCAGCCACTGAGGACATGGCCGACTATCCAGACACGCTCACCGGCATCCTCGGCCTTTTGCAATTCTTCGATCATCCAGGAGAACGTCCCAGAGTTATCGGGATCAGTGGTGTTGATGAAATTCAAAAAGTTCTGCGGGTACCAAAAGTCTACTAGAGTCAGTGAAAAATCCCCAAATGTGTTGGTGACAACATACCAGTGTTGAATGCAATGATGCGCAGTCCGTAGTGTGTCTTGATCGAGTAACCACCATAATGCGTTCTCGCTTCATCGGCGGTCTTCCGACTAATCCACCCTTCATGCTGCCACAGTCCAGCCAAGTGCTCATAATTCCAGCTTTGCTGTTCCCTCAAGCGCCCCGGGAGGTTACGAGCAGAATCGATGTTTGCGGGACTGGTGTCATGATTTCCAAGCGCCGCAAAGATAGGACCGGAGAGATAGTGTTTGAACATGCCATAAATGCTGCTCTCCGTATACTGAGTTAACGCCTTAGATATCTGGGATGCCGGATCATGCGATACCAGGTCACCCGTATAGAGTGTCCATGCAAAGTGCTCGTCGTGTTTTCCTTTTCCTGTTCCAGTGAGAGGGCCAACAGCTTGCAAAGCAGTGAGACCCAAGTCATATGGGGTATCGCACCGGAAAGAGCCATACGCGGAGGCAGGAACCAGTGGCTTGTCTTCGGAGAGGTCGTTGGAGTTGTCACTCCGACAGCAGAGGCTAGACGTGCAGTTTGCTTCGGAACTGACGGCATACCGGGCATCAAGATGGAAGTCTGACAGATGCAGTACCTTGACCCGCTCTCCACTTGCTTTGGGGACCTGGGCATCCGCAGGTTTGGGCTCGGGGAAAAGCTTGGTTGTGTCAAGCAGGTTGGTCTTTGGTGCGCTGCAATAGCTGCCGAGAGAATGGCAGATGTATTGACCATCCAGTCCTTCGACATCAGCATATGCCAGCACCTGAGTCCAGGTAGCGCCGAAGGTGTTTGTGGCATAGTCTTGCTCGCACGTCTCATCAGCATGGAAGCGAAAGGTCTTGCACAGGCCGATCATGGCACTAGGAACGAAAGCTGGGCCGTGCAACGCTGCAGGCTTCGCTGCGGCTAGGGCATTCTTGCATCTGGTACAGTCGTCTTCAGTGCTATTTGACTTAAGGATGTTGGTCACATTGGATACTACTTCCTGAACCAGCTTATACCTCTTTTTGGCAGGCATATGAGTTCGCGGCACAGGGAAGGAGACCTCATCCTGATTGTCAGGAATATTGTCAGGATCAGTCAATTCGTAAGGGAAGGTGAGATCCAACACCGGGTCATAGATGATCGGCTGGGGTTGGCTGGTTGGCTGGGCAGGGGAAAGGTAGTAGGATCTGCCAGTAACATTAGCATATTTATGTACCTAGACCACCGGAATGCCAACAGCAATCATACGAGAATGCAGAGGTCGGAAACCCGACAGCAGCCACGTAGGATGAGTTGCCTGGGAGCGAGGCAGCAAAGGCAAGATTCAAGATGAGGTTTGTAGTCCCCAGGAGGACAAGGAGGGCTTGCATCTTGAATATACCAGAGAGCCCCATTGGTGTAGGTAAATGAGATAAACTAGATGAGAATGATGTGAAGAGGAAGAAGGAAGGAAAGAGCAAAAACAGTGAAGGTTTAAAGACTTGATGCAGGTACGATGCCGTGGGAAAGAAGGTATATCTGAGTGTGAGACCCAAGACACACCATGGGTGCGTAGTCGTTCTGGCGCGACACCTTTTAGAGACAGAGATCAAGCGCGATAAATTGAAGATATGGTTACTTTACTTTGAATATATCACCCTCCGAGTATATGGCCACTTCGAGTACCTACATGTTCATGCCATTTAGATCGTCAAATATATCCGTCACCTTGTAAAGCTATATTCATATAGTGCTAGTGGGTTAAATTTGAAATATCCTCATCTTCACCCCGACTGAGAATCTATAGGAAGCGTTATAATAGGTCTTGGAACGACTAAGGAGGTTAGAACTCTACGTGAAACTATGAAAATACTCCTTCTACTAGAAGGAAGTTAAGTTCCTAGGATTTATTATAGATGGCGAGAGAAACCGATACTCTGTAGTAAATACCTAATAGAGTGCTCTCTAATCACGTCTACGCATTTTTATAAAGAAACTAAACGATAGGCAAGTGTATATTTCTCACATCTTTTGACTGTTAGAGTATATAGGAAGATCGAACCCTAATCTAGAACCGGATTGTAGGCTAAAAGCTCGAGGAAATACGCTTAATATTTATAGGGATAAACAAGCTCGACGTAAACGAGTAAGATCTCAAAAGAACATGACTTAGAATTCACATTCGGAATTAATCAGGGAAACCCCGGGTCAGGTGCATCTGGTACTAGTGTAGCGCGCATCAGCTCCAAATTAGATGAGTCTGAATGGGGAGAACTGCGACAAACTAAATATTCCATTCGACGTTGGAGACACTACACTAGTAGTAAAGTGATGTTGACAACGCATTGTAGAACAACCATTGATTTTGAGCCCCATTTGCCGTGGTGTCTAGCATATCTCATTCAATGATTATCTTCTGATACATCAAAAACAAACATTGAAAGTATCACAATTCAAAATTCCACAAGCCTAGTAAAATGCCCATTTAATTAGCCCGAGAAGGCTTAAATTTCAACACTGTTGTGGAACTATATGTATGAGGACCACGCGGCTGAGGCATGATGAGAAACTGTATAAAATACGCTATGCAGAGCGCGTGATGGAGGGAAACGAGTCAACTTTCAGACGGAAGATTCCTGGTGTATCCTGGCGAGAGCGGTAATACTGCGTCAGGCTGGAAGATCTCCGGAGGCGGGGCGATTTGTTCTTGTGTAGGACACCACGCCGAACGTCCCCAATTAGCATCGGGAGAAGGTAGAGAATGCACACAAGGTGATTGATGAGCCGTATCCGAGTAAGACCCCGCGAAGTGTCGTGGGCTTGCGAAGCTTCGGAGCCAAACGGGCCGCGTGCTGTTGATGGGCAGGTTGGGAAATTCCAAAACAAGTTGAAATGAGTTGGTCCGCTTTGTGAATGCCGAAGGCGACAGACTGGATTCGGCGGTGACGAAGAGTAAGTCGGTGGATTCCAATGGGTGGGCGACAAGTACCAAATTCATTGCCATGTCGCTGTGCAGAATATATATTGGCGACATTTCTTCGTGGGCATTGAATTAAACAACTTTGTACTTGTTCGTCTGGAACTTGCCAAGTATTGAAGGTGGCAAGGATGGCGCCGTGGGCACGGAGCAAAAGACTGACACGCTGATGTGTCGTTTTAACCCAGTGAAGTGAACTTGTATCAAAGAGAACTGGTACCCTGTGATCTTGCTCGGACTCGTATGTCCTCGCGATGGAATGTCGTCAAGGCCTGGCATGCGTAGACGAAAACTGCAAGTTAAGTACCGAGAAGCGCCAGAGGCCAAAGAGCGTTGTATCGGACCCACCGCCCAGAGAGATAGTAAAGAGAAAAAAAAACCCCGAGGACGATCCGAAGACCGACCTCTACAGCCCAATTTAGTCGTGAGAGCCCTTGGAAGATCCACTAGAAGGAGCCTGCACACAGACAAGTTCAACCATGATATCATCTGGGCTATTCGGTGGTGCACTATTATAAGAAGGGGCGCGACTGATGATGCCAACTGCCACCTGGGAAGCTTGGTTGTGGGCGTTCATATTATCAAGGTACCAGACCTGCCAAGGCCAAGCGCCCGAGCCAGGTGGCATGATGGTGACGTTCTTATCGGGGACGACTCGTTCTCTGGCGAAATCTAGAAAGGTCAGAAGACAAGGCTAGGAAGGAAGAATAATTGACATACCTTGGACTGGAATAGACGCGACGTCAAGAGTGGGTGGCGGGCACCCAGGCAACGACGGCGGCTTCATCAACATCTTGTTGAGAACGGCCTCGAGAGGCTTGGAATAGTACTCGCCCGACACAGCAAGGCGATACATGCCATTCTGCAGGGCACTCTTAAGATCACGAGAACAATCATCCCCCCAAATCCCATCGCATCCATTATTCGCCCCGGAAGGGGTACCGGTCAAATTGCCAATCCTGAGGCCGATTTCCGAGGTGCGATTCGAGTCAACAGCATTTATATTGATATTTTTATTTTGATACCCCAGCCAAAACGCCGTCTTGGTCATGGGCCCTTCACCCTTGCCAGAGGAACTGGCATCGAAGCCATAGTAGAGCGTAACGGGGTCCGGGAAGAGAGGGTGGAGATCGAAACGAATTGCAGTCTGAGCGAGCGAGTCGATGCATCCGTTATTCCAGAAAGAGCAGAACTGAGCTGATACAGTTTGTAGCAATACCAACAGGGTTAGGGACCTGAGACTCATGATGAAAGCCATGTCCAGGGGAGTGTTATGTATTATCCAGAGTGACCGCGGAGGCCCTCAGAGTCAGGATGATCGAGAACAGATGTAGTGCAAGTTCATTACGGGGGGGGGAAAGGAGGTAATAAAAAAAAGGGTGGGAGATTAACTGATAAAAAGGCTGTTGAAAGCCACAGCCAAAGCCAGAAAAGCCAGGAAACAATGTCCCCGCAATACTAGGGTCTTTTGAAGAGAATGAGGTTAGTCTTAAAACCAAATGTGTTAGGGAAAACGACTGGAGCTTCCGGGATAACCTTGGAAAAGGAACAAAAAAATGCCGAGTTATTGCCAAGGGACATTACAATACACGTATTTTTTAAATTCAAATAGTTTCTCCGAGCATTCCTCTTTATGTACGGAGTACATATGTAAAATAAAAAAAAGGTGTTTGTAAACTCGGGTACCTGCTGGGTACCTGTATGGTACTTGATACAATGGTAGTCGACATAGGAAAGAGATAAGTCACTTTCAGGTACCCCCCCCTTGATTGGAATATTATTTTCCTAAATAGAATGCTCCGTCAACCCTAAAAAGGAAAGTATTGGCGACGATCAATCAAAAGGGTAAGGCAGGGACCAGCCACTTATATTCATTTCATTTTGGTACATTGGTATGATAGTATATCCTTTCTCCTTTCAGAGTGAAGGGTCAGATCTCCCCTCAGATCATAGATTTGCATGACCTCATCATTCCTGCTACATTCTGGGGATACAAAATTACCAATAATAGTCTGTGCGATACTATATCCTTGCCTATCCGATAGGTTTTAATGCGATAGCTGCTCTGACGTAAGAAAAAATCAATTATTTAAATCTAACTGCGTCATTTGGGTCTGAGACACTTTTTGATGTTGACATCTCGGGTTCGCCTGTTTTCAGCCAAGGCCTTGGCTTATTCGGCTGCTCGTTAGCGTGTAATTATGTGTATCCGAGAATCCACTCTAGTTTCATTACATACAATCTATACTCTGAAAGGAATCCTAGGCTAGGTTGGTATATAAATACACCTGGGCACCTGTGTACACGTCCTTGTGATCTTCTCGAGAATTCAATGTAAAAGTTGTGATTTCGGATTTCGAGGTAATTGAAATAACGAGACAACCTAGTGTTTTTCACCAGTATTGAATCCAAGAATGGGAACCAAGAAGTAACTGTGGGCCAATATTGGGGAGTTCAAACAAATGCTATTTCCGAATGCCTCGGTTCTGTAGTACAACTTGCAATTCATTGATCAAGGAAGCCAGTCTGCAGAATTTGTCCCTCTCACACGTAAGGCTGTCATCGACCATGGAGTTGATCACCCGCAGTGTGTGGGTCATTCATTTGCAGACGAAGCCGAGCATCGACCACTTTGTCGAGGGACCTTACTAGAGACAAGAGATAATGTTTTTGAGTGTCAACAGTGTAGAATTCCCGGCGTTGGTTCCGGTGGTGCCTTAACGGTTCAGATGATATGCATGGCATTAGTGCATCGTTCACATGTGAATCGACTGTTGTCGGGAAAGGCACCGTTAAATTCCAGTCAAACATGAGGGACAATGGCTCGTGTTTTCATAATTAGAATTGCTCGAGCTTGACGGGAGCCATTTACGAAGTTCTCCGAGTCGGGGATCGGGGTAGACCAGACAGTCATCTCCAACCGGACGTCCACAAATATGTGCAGCTTATTGGTGGTGGTTCGCAGGTTGTTAGATGCGTGCAGCGAGATGGAGAAAGCCAAGTCGTCGAAGGAGAGGCGGGCCGTTCTTTGTGGCCATATGGTGGTGTTGATGGTTTCCATTTTGTCTCTCGGCCTGCTAATCTCCATGCTAAAACAAACTGAAGGTAAACCCAAAGGGGTTGAAACCTTAATAATGTTCTGTGTTAGGAGCGGGAAAGCTAGTGGTATCAGGGAACGTAGACATACTTCAACGCTCGTTCTGGCTTCTGGCTGATATCAGGAACCGAAGCGGGTCAAAGTCATGCTGTTGGACTCGTTACCATACGATGCGCCCAGCGAAAGATGATATCGTCGACGTGTCAGAGATGACCATAAGACTTGATGGTATACCCGACGGCCAGTAAGCTGCGCCTGAAGCACCTTGGTTGAAGAGGAAGCGGTTTGGTCCAGCTCCATAGAATATAGACCAGACGGACATGCACCAGTGGTGATGGAACACAACCCCAAAAAGCGGACCAGAAGACAAGGACAAAAAATTGATGCATATTGTACAATGAACCTTCAAATGAGCGTTAAACATGCCCCTTAACATACATATACATCCCAGAGGCATTGCCTCATGCAAAGTGATAGACCTATACAATTTCGAATATCAACAACCAAAAAAAGATTTGTGGGAGAGTTTCGATCGTACCCCCACGCCAGAACTCCACGCTTGAAATCAGAATGCAATGATGGGTGGATCACCCAAGCACAAAAACAAGAAAGCGCAAAATAAAGATTGATGTCAATCACGACTTGTCGTTTTCAATAGAACGGTCCTTGCCCTGCAGCCAAACGCGCTTCCACGGACCGTCAGGTCCGAAAGCCGCTTCTCGGTCTTGGCGCATGCCTTCTAGGACACCGACAACACCACCACTGCGCAGGCGCTCAAGGACAATGTTCATGCCCTGCTTGCTCTTCAACACGGCCTCCTTGGTTCGACTCACACCGATGAGCTCAATGGTCCGCTGAATGCCGGCAGTAGAAAGGGACGAGAAGAATCCTTTACGAGGCTCTTCCTCTTCGTGGTCACCGATGTCCTGCTTCTTCTTCCCAAGCAGCTTTCCTTGCCCAATTCGGGACCGGAAGGTAACCGTAGTCTTGACACTAGTCTGTTCGGAATTTTTGTCGACGGCTAGACCATCGAGAGCTAGGCGGTTTCCCTCGGATGGGAGCCGTTTATAGCATTGCTTTTCAACCACGCTCAGGATGCCGGTCCACTCCATGTTGCGGGACTCAGTCTCCATCCACCCCTCCTTGGCATCAACAATGGTCTTTTCAAGGATATAGCTCTGACCGGAGCTGTCTGAGCCTCCCATGCCTTTTGGTAGGAGCTTTAGGATTCCAGATGGGATCTTGGACTTCTTGAGGTGTAGCCGGATGGTGTGAAGACGCTCAGTCTCGGGGTCGACGTATCTGTCGATGACATCGGTTGTGAGGACATGGCGAGAATAAGGGTTGGGGTAGCGGAGGAAATAGGCGAGGGAGACGGCAGGGAAGGAGTAATCGTAGGTGAAATTGTTTTCAAAAAACTTCATGATGGCATTCGGTTATTCATGTAGATTGATTATTGGGAAACGGAAAGAGCAAGGAGTCGTCTGATCCAGTGTACTTTTTGCGAAGGCGAGTGAAAGGTAGAAGTGGGGCCTGAAGGGGATGAATAGTTGTTCCGAGGGAAACCAGTTGCGGAAGATCACATGTTTCTCACGTGGTCAGAGGATTAGGCCTATCATTGGCTTGCAATACTTGATGATGTGTATAATTCCACTTTTCTATGTTTTCCTAAAGTTATATCATAGGATGATTAACTCTCTCAGCGTAAAGAAAACAAGGGAACTTTCTCTATTGATATTGATCCCCTAAACTGTGATATAAGAAATTCATGCTTTAGAACAGATTCTGTGTGCAGAATTTCCATGTTTGCTATGTACTTGCTACAGTACATTTGCACATATTGCAGTGAAAAAATAATGAAAATGATGCTTAATATCTGAAGTCCTTATTAGGAGAAATATAATTGGAACGATTGAGAATGGCATGCTATCACGACTTTTGCTATTAGTGGCCTGGCTTTAAAGGCAAACGAGACATCATCACTTCCTATTCTGGTAAGTAAATAAAATTCATAAAAAAAACACAAAAAATACCCACCTCCCTTTCTTCTCCCGCTCCTCCTCCCCCACAACTCAATTTCTTCCTCTCTCCTCCTCTCATTTACCTCCTAAGCAAGCCGATCTGTATCCACACACCTTGCAAGATCCCCACTAGCCTTTATACAGCAAGCCAACCGTCATCTTTCCCCTTCACAGTAAACATATCCTCCATCAGGGATATCAACGCTGCCACACTCTTCTACGTCTCATAAGAAGAAAATGCCACTCTCATCTGGTTGCGGTGTGTGCGGCAAGAAAGATGAAATTCTTCGCTGCACTGGCTGACGAGTGATGATGTACTGCGGTAAAGAACATCAGACTGCTCACCGCCAAGAGCATAAGTCGGCTTGCAGCGCCATCAGAAGATGCCGTGTTGCTGTAGAGAAGAAAGAACAGACCTTACGGGCTGATCCAGATGATATCTTCACCCACGGCGTCGGACACTTCTGGAAGATCCATGAGACACGCCCTTACATGTAAGCCCGTGTCGTCCTGTCTAATACGATGACCATGATCAAGCATGTTGAATCAGTTCAAGCACAGCTCGACATCCTGATGGAAAACCTGCGGCTCTGTCGAGGCGACAACTTGGGCTCACGAGAGGTCATCCCTGGCCTGATGATTCGTCTCCACCAGGACCAGGAGTGTTACGATTTTCTGAAGTGGTGGGCTACGACCGGCCAGAAAGACGACTATGATTGGGGTGATGATACACTGCCGTACCTTGACATCGAGAATGCCAATCCCCTTGAGCCAGTCAATGTTTCTGTGACCCTAGTCAAGGTCAAAGTGCTTCAAGTGCTACTCACAAGCATGAGATATCCTAATGGAAGTGCTGCCCACCTGCTAGGACTCGGGCTCAAACCGTCGACTATAGCCAAAAACCCCAATATTGCCAACTGTGACGATAAGCAGCTCAAACCAAAGGCCCAAATCGCGCTTTGTACGAGGCCGTCCACAAATTGAATCCCCACTTCTGGCCCGCCCTTTTGAACCCAGGTGAGCACTTGCAGGCCAAACACATGATGTATTCAATTGGGAGCGTGCAACACATGCAAGCGACCTTGAATTTGACCTATGAAGCATGGCACGAGGCGCTCGGGGCCGTTGGTGTTATTGAGATGGCTATCGAGGGTGATCTTTGATGAAGGTCGCCACTGACGAGAGATATTTTGACGGTTTAATGAGTGCGAGACTTGGAGAGAGTGGTTTTCGGGCATTATGTTTTCAAGTTTGATCACCTAGGATCGTCTACGTAACAAATACAGTGATGTACTTACTACTCAGAATAATCGCTTTAACGATGACAGCTGGGGCTATCCGCTATTCAATAAGAATCAAAGAACATGATTATCGGAGAGATTTAGCAAACAGGACATGAAAATTGGTAGAACAGGTAGCACTTTCTGGTCATTTTAAGTAGTCATGCTGGTTTTTTTGGTAAAGAGATCCCCTGCTTATTTATACCTAAGCAAGAATAATCGGCCAGGACTTCAATATTGGCTCACAATGATACATATTAAGGATGCTATGCTTAATATAACATGGTCTTTTTTACCTGCCCTTTGTGGACGTCTTGGTGTTTTAGTAAGGATGAAAATAATTGGCTACAAAATGCCTTTTTTTTTTTTTTTTTTTTTTAATTTGCAACCAACTTGAATTTTGGAGGTTTGTGACCTTTTAACCAACAGAACAATACAAGATTAACCATAAACAAACTTGGAAGCGCCATGGCCCCGGGGGTAATCCCACCGTGGGCGGGTAAGTCCCGTGCTCTCTGGAATCTGGATCTATGATGTACCCCTCACCAGAGCATTTACGTTTCCTCGTAACCCACCATGGGAATGAAAGCTCGCTGCCAATGTGGCAAAATTCAATTTATGACACCGACAGATAAACCACTGAAACTTTGGATCTGTCACTGTACTGAATGCCAGCACCAAAGCTCGTCTGCGTTTGGCATCACCGCAACATTTCCGTACTTCGAGCTCCCTGAGTCTGTCTCCGGAATGGTCAGCAGCTATACTCGCGTCACCCTCAAAGGGCGCAATATGGAGTGCCTTTTCTGTAAGGACTGTGGCGCACGACTTCTCCATCGCTTCCGGGATGCTGTGCCTGCACCTGGTGAACAGCCCCATTTTTCTGCAATTACCAATGTGAAAGGTGGTTGCTTGGAGGATTTAAACAAAGAGATGTTGCGAACTGCAGTTCATATATGGTGCCAGGAGGCAATTATTGATATTCCTGAAGGCGTGGAGAAGTGGGATCAGGCACCGCCTCAGCCGAATCCCTTGGTTACCTAGTTCTTTTGTATCCTGAAAGAGATGTACCCAAATTGATTCACTTCAGTTGTTTATTTCCAAGACGTTACGGAAACGTATGTATGTCGTAAAATATTAACACCCTCTAGGAGAAAAATATGCCCATGATTATACAACTGGGTGCAAACAGCCACTCAAAATCATGTAGCCTATCCAACGACAGAAGTCCAGCCATTATCAATAGCGATAGTCGCACCGTTGATCTGAGCGGCGCCCTTTCCATATGTCATGTTCACACAGAAGCCAGCAACCTCATTCACGTCGACGTGGGGAGCTTGAATCGCCTCGAGGACAGATGTCAGCTTCTGATAACCCTCCATATGCATCCCACTCTTAAACGCATCAACAATGTTAGTTTCCATGCCACCCATCATCAAGGCATTGCATTTGATGCCCTTGTTGCCATAGTAAGCGGCAGTGTTCTTAGTCAATCCGACTAGACCGTGCTTGCTGGCCGTATAGGCAGCACCTAAAAGAATTAGTCAATCTCAGATCTAGTAATAAATTTCCCTTTTCTGGAGGAACATACCACTAGCCCACCCAGCCTTTCCGGCAACAGAAACAATATTAATAATGCGCCCATCGGGCTTCGGCTGCGCTAGCATGTTGCGAACAGCCAATTTACTCATCAGAGCGGGGGCAGTGAGGTTAATCGCCATGACACGAGCCCAAAGTTCCATGTCCAGATCGCCGATTGGGTCGAAGTGGTCCATGATACCAGCGTTGTTGATGAGGACATCAATCTTGCCGAATTCGCCAATCAGGGTTTCAAACAGGCTCTCCACTTCGTTGGTCTTGGTGATATCAGTCTTAATGGCCTTTAGAGGCCCCTTGGATGATAGTTCGGCCGAGGTCGCCTGCAGACGTTCCTCATTGACATCGCAGATCACGACGTTGGCGCCGGCTTCTAGGAATTGGGTGGCAATTGCTTTGCCTAAGCCGCCGGCACCGCCAGTGACAAGGCATGTCTTTCCCGCAAGGATTTGCTCAGGCATCGTGGGTGATGAATATGATATAGATAGGAGTAATGGTGTGTGAGGGAGTTTCGGCAGTGTCAATTGAAACCGAAATTGGAAGTCCTTTAAGTATTCTCTATTTTGGCAACGGAAGACCGTATACCCGGTTTCCGTTCATCTTGGACACGGTGGTGTCCGCTTTGGCCTGACCAAATCGGCTCAGGGGCCACATTTTCTGGGGTACATCCGGTCTTGAAGGCATCGGACCACTCATCTCGGTTGGCCTTGCCGAGTCGTAATGTTGATACCAAGGGATACAGGCCTTCATATGGGTCCGGACAGGGGTGATATGCAGGCTGTACATTTGTTCTGGAAATATAGAGGATTAAGGCTAATCGAGAAACTTGGACGACTTCTATAATATGTTGAGATTCAACCTTGGAAGTGTGATTCAAAATTTAAGCTTCTTTCTGTCTGGCCTATAAAGTGACATGTAATACACATCCCGAGGTCCGGGTAACGGGTGACACATTGAATTTATGCAGGGTCCAAAATATCACGTGAATTTAATACACGGAAGAGTGTCTATCCGAGAGCCCTGAGCCCTGATTTCCTGTTTAGTACATATATCCTTTGAATCCATACATCTACCTACATAAAGAGTACTTCGTATGTAGTACTCTTACATACAATGTCACCGAGAGCTGATTCAGGATACAGTGTTAATAAAGCTTACTCTCATGTCGAATTACGTCGCACCATCCCTCTAGCCCGTTCTGCTTGTTAGATTACGCCTCTGGATGGTGGAGTCTCGGTCTCTGTGAGAATACTAGACTGTGAGAGTTATGGTCTTCTGATCATTACCGACATCGCATAGTACTTGTAGACTATCATGGAAAATGGGCACTGGCTTTTGGTCATTTTCTATGTTCGGTGCAGCTAGGGCTACGCTGATTCGTTAGGATATACTAGATTTTGAAAGTAATCATTCATAATTGAAGTATCATAGTCTCTAGATCCAGAATCCTCTTCTACTAAACTTCGTGCGGCTCCCGTGAGTGGTACAACTCCTCTAATTCCCTCTCAGTCTCGTCCAACTCCTTACACCTATTCCTGAAGGCAACTCGTTTCTGCTCATGCGCCTCGAATTCCGTCTTCACCCTCTCGTATTCTCAGTTGAAATCTTCCAATTAGGTTGCAAGAGTGTCAACCTTATTTTTAACCACCAACACCTCGTTGCTTTCCGGAGCAGCTTTTTTATCGCATTTATTCCCTTCGTCACTCAAAGAGGCACGAGGCCGTAAAAGGACTGCCTCGAGGGCCGTGAGAGTAGGGTAAGCGGTGCAGACAGGAAGGTGTGGTTCCGATGGTTTTTTGTTAACTCTAGAAGATTCTTGCCCTTTGTTAGCTTAAATGCCGTCAACATCAAGGTCGGCGGTAGGCTGTAAAAAAAAACTATAATACATGCCGCATCGTGGTTGATTATGGGGCAGGGTTCAGGGCCCCCCAGGGAACTGAATAAACTATGAGACTGAAGGCTAATTGCCTATAGTAAGCATTACGGTGTCTTGTAGGGAAGGATGTTATCATTATGTCTCCATTATGTCTTGAGCAGGCGAAGTCAATATCACATTAGTGCTCGCAGCTGAGGAGGGTGGGGATCAACAGCGTCATAGACGGAGGGTGCTTGAGCTATTTCCAGCTAGTTAAGATTTTAAGTTCTAAAGTGACAGTACAGATGTCGGGTATCATCCCCCTGGTTTCCTGGTATGTACTTTTCTTGTGATTAGTATGTGAAATGCGAACATATGTCTTAGGATACGAAGATAATGATAAGAATTACTGGCTGGGTGCTGATGCTGTTGTTACACGAACGGTGACAAACCACCACCACAACGAGCACGTACATAGGGATTGCGTATGCATTTACCGGTGGAGAGCTGTGACTCAGATGAAAATATTTCGATGCATCATTCGCAGTATGCGGGGAAGGAAACCAAAAAAGAATAATGCGCTGGTCGATTATGGGATGGGCATGAAGTTGTATTAATGGCATTACACCCATGTACTATCCATATAGGTACATGGAAGCAGCCAACTACTATCAATCCATCTATCTGGTGGATGGATTAGGAAGGCGCGTGGTATCCACCCATGAGTATAAAACGAACCCCCCCGCCACCAAAACTCTTTTTCCTCCATTCTCCATTTTACCTTCTTCACCCTTGCATGTTCTCGCTCTGACTGGACTTGACTTGAGAACTGTACATAAGTACATGTAAATTTGATGTCGAAGATACCTAGCTATCTCTCAATCTGTAGAAGGGACTAAACTAAATCCACTAGAACTACTGACAAGCAGTAGGCTGTGCAATTAGACCCATAGAGGATTATGGCTACCTTCCATTGGTACAGTAGGTGCGGACGATCTAGAAATGGCGTTTACACCCGGTTGATTTAAAAACGCTTTATATAGAGTTAAGGTCTCAGTTATATAGTTCGACGGCGAAAAAAAGGCGGAAAAGGCTTCGCGGAATGGGCTCTTCTATATATACATAACCTTTGACTTTTTGGCTTTTGAAAGCATAGAGGCGTGACGTCAAGGATGCCAAACAAATTTAACTTGTGCGCTGGCCTTTATTCCAAAGTACAAATGCGTCTGCCTTCCTATTTCAATACTTCCCCAATCCTCGAGTTCACAGATCGTCGAACTCATGCCCAATGGCCCCGCAGTTCACATGTCTGTACGAATACATCAGACTTAGGAAGTTGCACCGATTAATTGCTGATAACATTAAGATTTTGATTTGTCGCCCGCACTTTAAAAAAATCGACAAATTGACAAACCCTGTGGCAGGGGCGGGCAAAGCCAACTGGCGGTCTGGATCTACTGGATCTACGATCAACCTCCACCCCAGACATCATCAAATCAGCACTAACCCTGAACCCACAAGCCACACTAGATCGGCGCTAGGTAAAGCCCACCGTCGGTGTACATCGTACTTATTAAGGTTCGTCGAAAATGGTATGGAAGAGCTACATCAAACTAATGTTGGTGATATCAACCGGGCTGTGTCTACTTTTGATCGCGTGCAGAAATACTGTGGAACTGTGGAACTTTGTTACGAAAATCGGATCTCATTTCTAGAAATTGGGGATGCCATAGCTCGGGGGTGTTGGACCGGGAAAAGTTTATGCGGTACCCATAACATGCGGTATAGACTTAGCCAATTGGCTTTGATGATCAGGCTAGGACAATGTAGTGGGGGGATGGACTTCGGATTTAGCCTCGAGAGATTTTATGATCCTCGAAAGTTATATCAGGAGAACAACCCTCCAGGGCTGGGGCTAGACTTCATTTTTAGTATTTTCTACTATTTTTCAACTTCACTATAGCAAACCTAGATCATAACAGAGATCATGTTCGCCTGCTTTTTATTGGGCAGTGCTGTGACCTATAACCTGGTCATGCTTATTTATCGTCTTCATTTTCACAAGCTCAGTAGGTTCCCGGGACCTCGTCTTGCTGCTGCAACAGGGTTGTATGAGATTTACTTCTCTGCCTGGGGTCCTGGCATTTTTGAGTATGAGATTGAAAACATGCACCGAAAGTTTGGTATGTTGTTTAGTATGAGAAAGTTATTGAATCTGACACTTTCTAGGCCCTGTTGTTCGTATTACTCCCGATGAGGTCCATGTTCAAGAGCCGTTCGGGACTTCTAGCTATTCTGACCGCTGGGTCAAAGGTACCCATGAACTGGAAACTGGTTGTTACCACAGCATCCATAATTCCCAATACAAGAGACCCTCAATCTCCCGAGTACGATCTCTCCTCCGAATGCAAGTCAATCATATTAGCAACAGAATCAAGAAACATCAAGTGCATAGAATGTTTAACTCAAGTCGATTATTCTGGAGTGAAAAGAAAGTTCAGCCACTCGGAGAAATCGCCATTGAAGACGGAGATGTTCGTTCTTAGTCTAAGTTTACCCCAACACTTTGACATTCTCAAGCCTCCGACCAGTTTTCTAGACTGGTAGAGTTAATTTAAATGAAGTTAACTCATGATATAGAGTTCTATTGATTATGAAAGACCTGGGGTTGAGCTTCATGGTTCAACCCCAAGTGTGGAGTCCGGCATTTGAGGAGAACGGTAGTTCCCAAGATCTAAGACTTGAGGGTCCAGTTGGATTTCGGGAGAACAAGGAACAAAGAAAAACGAACAAAGCACAAGGGAAAAAGAATAAAAAAAGAAGAATATCCTAAATGTTCCGAGAAAGCAACGTTTGGTAGGTTCGAGATCAAAGAAAGCTCGACGTTCCAGACTTTTTCTTCTTTTTTCTGTGGATCGCCCCGCTTCTCCGATTCTGCTCTTTCTTTTAAAAAAAAAAAGAGCACTTAGCGCGATCGCGAAATTCCTCTACACTCCATTCTTGTGTACATCTTCAAAAAAATATCCTACATATTGAATCGCTATGGTACGTTTGCGCATGCTCTTTGCGAATTTCCTGGCCTCTTCATGCCCGGGGCACCGCGAAGATCCCTGCAGACCCAAAGAGCTAACATATAGCGCCCAACAGCCTCACGCCGACTCCTCTTATTTCATGCCGGATAGCTCCAAGGCCGACATATACGAACAGCTCCTGCTGTCGACACAAGGTCTTCTGGATGGCCAGCGGAATTGGGTGAGGTGAGTTACACAATTCAAAACATGCACGCTCCAAAAACGACCGGAAGGCTTAAAAGCATGAGCGCTAACGACCTACCAGCAACCTATCCAACGTCGCTTCCCTCCTTTGGCACGCATATGCCTCCCTTCCCGCACCCTCCTCATCCGTCAACTGGGCAGGATTCTACATCCGTGATGACAAATTCCCAGCCCTTGCCTCCCCAGTCTCCTCGCCGCCAATCCCTGGTGCACACAGCTCCGGTGGTGTGATCATCTCGACTACATACTCTTCCTCGGAGGATCACCTCCTTCTCCTCGGGCCATTCCACGGAAAGCCCGCATGCCAGGAGATTCGCTTCGGCAAAGGTGTTTGTGGTACTGCTGCCGCGAAGCAGGAAACTGTTATTGTTCCTGATGTTCTGACCTTCCCTGGGCACATTGCATGCGACGCGGAGAGTCGCAGTGAGATTGTCGTGCCTATCTTGGTTAATGGAGAGGTTAGTACTTATTTCCTGGCTTTGGCGCGCTTTCTAGAGGCACAACTAGCTTTGGGGGAGCATACTCACATATCCATTAGACTGTCGCGATTATTGACATCGACTGCACCGAGCCTTCTGGGTTTGACGATGTGGACAAGGAGTACCTTGAGAAATTGGCCACCTTCTTGGCTGAGAACTGCGACTGGTAAAAAGCAAACATAATATTTTTTTATAATAGTTACGAAAGACACGGGGTTAGGTAAATGAAATTGTTCAGTTTATGATCGCAAATCTGAGTGGTTACAGTTAGCATTTTGGGCGACATGCTCGACCTAATATGCTTGAGGTCTCATCCACCTATCCTCATTTGACATAGTACGGCGAAGCAATTGCCGTCGCTCTTCATGGAGGATCTGCGCCGGGCTCTGAAAGTTTCATCGTTGTGTCGTACTTGGTATTCCTCCGTGTATTGTCGATCGAAGCCATTTTTATCGCAGCCACTGACCAAGTGTGTTCGCGATATATATACTGAATACACTAGGAGATGGCATTGTAGCATGGGGCCTGACTTAGGTAGTAGTCAGGACTTGGGTGCAATATTCGAAATAGGATCACTAGAGGGCTATCACTCTTATCGGTACGACATAAGCCCATTGCCCAGTGTGGTGTTCGTTCACATTTTAGCGCCTTCGAGCACCCGAAGCTCGGAAGTGGAGTCACGGCTGACACGTGGATTCGTTCTATTGACAACTGTTGAATGCTACCGATGTACTCCGTAATAAGTATGGCATTTATTAGCCTATATATGGTACCAATTTGACTGCATACTTGAATTCTTTAACTCTCCAGCTCTACATGAAGCACTTCTCTACCTCACATCTCAAGCTTTTCTGATGTATGGACTAGATCACCCTCAGGCGCTTGCAGCCATTATATTGCATTATAAATTAATGTAGGACATGATCGGCGATACAAATGAGATACCCCGGGGAGTAAAGTCTCCACGGCTGCATTGCGGAGTACTTCCGTTAATCTTCGATGTGCGTTGGGACAGATCTGCATGGCACAATACCTAAGCTTCAGGAACGCTTTAATCTACTATTGTTCGTAGACTTTATATTAATCTGATGTATAACTTCGTGATTAATCAACATCTACTTATCTAGGTCATTTGGTTAAGCGATGAAGCTAGTGGATGGCGCAAACTATATAGATCCGGTAGTTATGGATCTTGGTCTGCCCACGTGCGGGGTTAATATCGCCATATAAATTATACTCCGCACTTGGACGGAGTACAATGAAGTACGAAATACTGGAGTAGGGGGAATAGGGGAATTGAGAGGATATTGCCTTGCATGCGCTGTAACTTATATTCGTGGGGGTTGAATAACCGATGTTACATTGCATGCAGCATAAAAACCAATCAAAGGAAAGCCTAAGGTATAGAGAGTATCACTCAACTCGTAAAGGATGATCCTTTGGTAAGCAAAGACGATTGTGAGAATTGTATGTCAAGACCCCGGTAGTTCCAAACTGTCAATGCTAGGGGAACTATATTGTATGGCATGGTTCCATCGGTCCCACAATATTGCAGATCCCCGTCTATATTGGACATATTAGGGTTTCATTTTGATAAGAACATTATCCCCTTCCAAGGTAGATAGATGGAATAAAGAGTACAAGATGAGTCTATAAAGGAGAGGCATAGAACCACCAAATTCTCATACTCATTCCCAACCAATCCCTTCAAGCTTAAGCATCAACAAATATGAAGCTCTCCCAGACTCTTCCCTTTGCCTTCGCGATCCTCCAGCCCACCACAGCCCTCGTCGGACATTACTGGAATGTGGACAACGTGCCCAAGGACGGTATGCGGGAAATCACCTTCCCCATCAACATCGCCAATGCACCTCACGAGAAGGGTTTCTACTTCGCCCAGCAATTCACCTTCGCCGGACAGTCTGATGTTGGCTATACAGGCCTGCAGCCGCAAACCGACGGCTCAGCTGGCTCCGTAGTCCACGCTGCCTTCTCTAGCTTCGTTCCTGGAACCACTACCACCGATGGGAACTGCCACGATGGTGCCGACGGTGGTCCTGGCGTGAGCTGTGCTGTTAATATCAACGGCCCTTACGCCAATACCTATCACCTGAATGTCAAGAACACCGAGGGAACCACATGGGTCGGTACACTGATTGATTCTGTCACTGGCACGAAAACCCATATCGGCTCTTATACCCTTCCTTCTACCACTAAAGGTATTGAGGGGAGCCAGATGGGCTTTGTTGAGTACTACATTGGCACTAAGCAGTGCGGTGACTTGCCCAAGACCGCTGTCACTTTTGGCAATCCCATTGTCAAGGGTCTTACTGGAAGCATACGCACTCCGTACGAGTATGGCGACTGTGTTAAGAAGTCTGCATTTGAGACCCACACTGTTAAGGATGGCGTTGAGATCTCTGTTGGATTCTGAATGAAGGAAGGATGGTTGGCTGACGAAGAATGGTTGGATGGGTTGGATATATGGAACACGTAGAAGTCTAAACTATTTTAACATCGGATCGGTATTTATTGACTTGACGTAGTCGTGAATTACAGTACTTACCAATATTTACCCTGTAAATGTAGTAAACAACCTAGCAAACAAATATCTCAGTCTGAGATCAAACGAGCAAACAGCAGGGATCATCCCAGCACCATATCCTTCTTTCAGATAATGGGGTATTTGAATTCTGGGTATCATACGATGTCCACGGGTGTATTGAAATTTCGTTGGTCATTCCACATAGTTAGCAACCCAAGCTCTCACACGGGCACCCTTGGACGTTATATTATAAGCTAATTACAACGTGACATAGGGCATACCGTCGATCTATTCAGACACCTGTCCTTCAAGTAAATGTATTACCATGTCCCCTATATATAAAGCTTGAGTTCAAAATACTTCTGACATATATTGTATTTGCACATAATCATTTTCAGCATCCAAGGTTCTATACGGAAGATATATCTCAATTTCGCAACATTCGACTAGGGGTCGATTTCCAAGCATAATATTACCGCCAAAATATGCTTGCTTTGTCTCTTACAGGTCATCGTCATCCCCACAAATATTCTGTCTTTATGTCAGCTGTTATTCCGAAGCAAACTGGAAAGTGAGCAATACCGTTCGTCGCTTGGTGAAATCTGCATATAATCCTAACCAATAGTCCCGATCACGACAGTCGTCTAGGATCCCGCTGCTGATGTTCAAGTGACAAGATGGTTTCCTTTCATCCATGATATTAGCGGGGGGTTCAATCCAAGGCTGTTTGTTAGATAATTATTAGTACGGTCTTTCAAGGATACTCGAGCATGCAGGATATATACCTTTGGAATTGGCCAATCAGAGAAATGTACAAATTTAGTCTCCTTAAGCACTTTATCAGGATTCCAAGTCTCATTGCTATTTCCTAGATATTTAGAGTGATCATCGTTGCGGAGTTCTCCAGTCAACATAATGTATGGACGGTGCGGCAGGATGAGCGCACTATCTCTGTAGAGATGATTCATAACCTCCATATCATAGTCAGAGGCAGCTGCGGTATCAATGGCTGCCATGATGCGATTAAATTCAAAGTGCGAAGGCTGGATGAGCAGGACTGCAGAGCTCATTACACGTTCATCCGGCTTGAGCCAGTAAGCTCGAGGTATAGCTAGAGGACATGGAGGCATTAAGAACAATTCATCCATATGCTGGGGCTTGTTAGTAAAGCATAACACAATGTTTATCTTCTCTAGAAAAACATACCTGGAGCATGGTGGCATCTGAATCGAGGCTCAGGACACGATCGTACTGCGTTTGGTTGAAGGCAAGAAGCTTGGTGAAGCTCGCCCGCCATGTTTCTGGATTGGTATCAGAATTTCATTTGTCCCAAGAGGATGAAAAATTTTCAAAGAAACGGATAACACATACCATCCCCAAGTTCTCGACTTTGGATTTGGACAGGTACCAGCTGGACCTTGTATTCATCTCGAGCTTTCCGGAGAAGTCGGCTTTCTGTCCCATTGTCACTCTCATCTAGCGAGAATCCCGATGGGTACATCATGATACGATCAGCTTTGCTTTGCAAGCGATCCAATGTTTCAAATAGCATAACCGAGTTGCACAGATATGGTACGTTGGTAACATATTGGCTGTAGGCAAATCGAGACCAATCCAAGGCATCAATTGATTCTGGAACAGTAGATTCTGGAAGTAGATCGTGATGGAATTCGTAAAAGCAAGTATTTGAACACCCATCTGACAAGATGAGCAATGTCTCGGCTATGAGAAATAGGATAACGATGGCGATTATTGTGCGCGCTGCCTTAGGTAAGGTTGGTAGCATGGTGAACCCCGGGGGTAGAGGGGGTAAATGAGCCGGTAAAGCGAGGCTTAATTAAAGTAGAGCTATGAAGATACTTGATTATTATTTATGTTGTAGTTCAAAGATAGAAGTTTAAGACATGGGGAAATGAGAAGTAATGTGCGAGAAGCAGTGTGATTCAGACTCGCATTCAAAATTGCCGCTCAGCAGCCACACTAAGGTCGCGCAGCAAGCCAGTCTACCTATATAATAGTTGACTATTATATTAAAAAGGGCTTTCCAAAATACACAAGGCTCTTTTGTACTGGTGGAGTTTTGGTAGGATGTCAGTTTATTCCCCACTTTTGTCCCATAATAAGACCTCTGATTTGTCAGTCAACCCTAGAAACTCTGCAAAATATGCTTGTCATCACAAAGATTCTCACAGTATTGCGCTAGCGTATTGCACTAGCGTATTGAACTAGAGTATTGCGCTTGTAACCTATTTGTTACAAGCTAGTACTATATGTATGTACATATTACTATCTACTATAGATGTGATATGTGCTTGTCACTGCAGGATCCCCTAGCTTAGCCGCCGGATCTAATGCATGAGATACTGGAAGTCATGGGTGCCTATTTGGTATCATGGTGGAATCATAGGAGTAAGGTGACCGGAGAATATAGGTTCTAGGATAGGAATGAAACTTCAAGAGCCAGCTTGAAGTTCCATTGTGTCAGAAAGTTTTCTGGGAGATGTTGTGCATATAAATGATATAATTGACAATCACAAGAGGAGAGATCGCACAAAAAGGTATGTACAATCTCTGAATAAACAGCCGTCATACAATTTATGCACGCTAGTATGATATGCATGCATACCGGCCCGCAGAAAATTGTGGTCAATGGTATTCTTTACGCTCTCTACCGATCAACCGAAGAATAGGGATACAATAAACAAAATTCGGGAAATTCTCGTCATTCTAGACCAAGTTACAGCATTGAGAGCATAGAGAAGACAAATGATAATAGCAAGCGGCGATATAAATTTAGTTGACCCGCCGAAGCCTTTCTATTCAAGCCGTGGAGGCAACAATCTGCCATGATCTTCTATTGACGCGATATCCAAGACGAACAGTAATGCGGATGCTTTCCTGTTCGTGATATGTCAGAAACAAAATAGTTACAATGCAAGCCAAACACCAAGCGAGCCTCATCACGCTGGGTTTGAAGAATGAGAACAAAACAAAACACCGAGACCCAAACGTTAAAAGAGGTATAGAGCACAAAAGGAAATCGAAAATCGCTAACATGCACAAGAACATCACATATTGAGCAAGCTCATTTGTCGACGCATGGGATTGGGTGACAGAGCATCCCCATCTTCACTGGGACCGATGCCGCTATCTGTTCCAGCGAGTGTGTTGTCCATATCAATGTCCCACTGCTCGTCTTCATTGGGATCGCTGCTCAAATCTGCGTCGACATCGCCACCATCCCAACCCTTCTGGACCGCGCCGCGGGTGTTCCACCGCAGAGCACGCTGTACACTTGTAAACCACTCATTGTTGTTGGCAACGACTGTCGGGAATGGGTACTGGCTAGCTTCGACAGTGACGTAGTCGCCTTGGCGGAGTTCGACGCGACCCTTACCGTCAAACGAGCAGTAAGCGGTCGATCGTGAGGATTTAGGGACTGCGATACGGAGGAGGTGGGAGTCTGAGAGGACCATTGGGCGAAATGAGAGGGTGTGTGGGCATATTGGGGTGAGAAGGATACCGGGGATGGATGGGTGCATAAGAGAACCGCCAGCAGACAGAGAGTATGCCGTGGAACCAGTCGGCGTGGAGAAGATACAGCCGTCCGCCTGGACCACTGTTAGCAGCTCATCGTCGGCGTAGAGCTCCAGGTTCGACACGTAGGGGGACGGGCCGCGGTCGATGACGAGCTCATTCAATACTTCAAATTGCTCGCCCTCCTCGACAGCGTCCACCTCTGCGCCCTTGCTCCGGTCTTTCCGATAAACGGTACATGTGAATCGCATACGCAAATTGACACGCATGCCCACCTCGCCCATAACGGCATTAAGCTGTGATTTGTAGTCGGCAAACTCGAAATTCGTAAGGAAACCCAGGCTGCCTAGCGAAAAGCAGAGCACGGGCGGAACCACGCGCTGAAAGAGCCAAGATGTGAAAAGAACGGTACCATCACCACCAAGAGTTAGTACCAAGTCAAACTTGTCCGGTGATGTCCAACACAGATCTGGTGTCCAAAAATGTAACATCTGCGCAAACATCGGGTCTTTTTGCAATAACCCCGGAGCATCAAATCGTTTTGAATTTCGCAGCTTCGCATCTACATAGACATTGATTCCTAACTCACTTCCATATCGTGAGGTTGAAAGCAGCCACTCGGCAACTTCCCGAGTCAAGTACACCAGGCTGTTGTCACGCGCCTTAGTGACAATCATGACATTTCGCACCGCCCGTTTGATAGGTCGTCGCTGCAGTTGCTTCGACACTTCACGAACCCCAGTTGCCGTCTGAACTAGTCGCGAATGTGACAGCCACTCGTCGTCGGCGATTTCCTCCAACACCTTTTTTATGTTGACGGCATCATCGAAGCGTTGGTGGAAATAACATGGCGATTGTAATATTAGACGTGCCGTCGCAGGCGATCGATCAAGATACCCGCTCAATTGAAGATTTGAGAGCGCGGTAGAGAGATTGGAGGAGTCATTGCTCCCCCGCCGTTGTAGGTTGCCGGAAGGCGGGGAAGCCTGGGTGGATTTATTGAGTATACTCGATAAGGAACTCGATGACATATTGGGACTATTGCTGAGGATCGAAGCCCGGGAGGCCAGGGCTTTCAAAATGGTCTGTCGCGGTATACAGTCGGTCGATAACGCTTTCTTCGATCGGCGATTAATTGACTTCCGGCGAAATGTCCGTAACTTCGAGGAAGGCAATGACGAGCCTATGGCCTCTTGCGCTTCGGAAATTTGTGTAGACAGCGCGCTGTTGACTCCCTTTCCCTTGGTTACGAGTGGGTGATTGTCCTGGGTCGGTTCTATATCGAGTGCATGGTCGCGGAGTGAGGTTGGGGGTGGGGGTTTGGCGGATAGAGAGGGGGGTATTGATATCGAGTTGTCAGACTGGAGATCACGGTTGTACGCCATCGGCTTTGGCGGCAGGTAAATAAGATCAGGAAAATGAGCTCGGATGTAACGGGGATTGCGGATCCGAGGACTTGAGATGTTGTGTCCCCAGTCGTGGACCCCCGGAGTTGATATTGATTCTAGCGTATTCCACCTTTTTCGGGGCCTTTTTTTTTCCCTTTTTTTCGATTTGTTATTTTTTTTTTTTTGGATATATCGACAAGGATGTGGATAAACTCGAGAGAAGTGGTTAGGGCAAAATATTTGACAAGGATTGCGGGGGTGAAAAGGGATTTCCTCCAGAGCAATTTATCACGGACCTCGATCCACCGAGATTATTTAGATTTCTGACTTGAGTGAGATTCCCCCAGAAAATTCTATAATTGGTGAATCTGACTGATTATCGCCAAATGCGTACACTCGCGCAGTGCGCTCAGATAAATGACGTTTACACTATGATATCAGAGATCAAAAATAGAATTGAATGCTTAGAGGTAATGATGTGCTTGGGATTCTCCTTTCTGATCTTCCATTCTGTATCTCGGGCTTTACCATAATGTCGGTTAAAAACATATAACCCTTTTCCAACCCTGAGTCGAAGTGGGCCATTTTGACGCTTGCTAAAAGCCTACTTCCAACTGTCCACCGCTAAATCACTTGGCAAGATTGGACCAAAGCATTCAATATCAAAAGCCAATGGGGGCCGGAATCCAACAGTGGGGGAACCCGAAAACAAGCCTCACATGCAGTAAGGTTGTCGCTTGTGGCAGCCGAATGAAGCGTGTTGTACATGCAGTGGCAGTCAGGTGACGGTGCCTTAACCGGGTGTGGTACTCGGTCAACTATTTTGTGGTACCGTTGTATCCCTAATCGAGAGGGGAAGATATAGCGAGTGTTTCAGGGAAGCCGTATGCCCAAGAAAAGGGGACCAGGGGATGACCAGCCGGTCCTGTTTTATCGGGTCTCGCTAATTCTCCGTGGATTTGACGTGGGGACAGTCCGCCTCAGATAGAGTCCAGCTTGTAGGCGTAGTCGCTGTAGACCTGGTCTTCCACGGTCTCCCGGATGAAACCGTTCAAGCTGGCGCTGGCCGTTCCTTCGTCCATAGTAACATCACCATCAGCGCTCGCGGCTGTCACACCCCGGCAAACAGAGAGTGCGCGCTCACGGACAAGTTCCCAGGTGTCAAATTCAAACCGACCTGCGCTTTCGTTGAGCAAAAGGTGGTCCTTCGAGGAGAAGGCAAATACATGGAGGGACACAGCAGCCTTGGCGGCGGTCGGGGAGGGGTCTTGAACAATGTCGCCAGATTTGGTTACACCGAGGAGGGTCGCCGAGAAGGTCATCGAGAGAGGAACGGAGGCAGATATCATAGCGAGTAAGGCAGCATGTAGGAGAGCCGGGAGGATAGTAAGGTACTAGATAAATCAGTCTGACAGTTCGACAATAGTGCAGGGGAAAGTGGGGTTCTGAAATACTCACAGAGTCACCACGTTCCACATTCTCTCCTCCAACGATAGCTAAGGTGATGACCACGCCACGACGGGGGAAGCCCTTCTCCCGCCCGAGGACGACTTTCCCTAGCACAGACCGCAGGATTCCTTCGACATATCTTTCACCGACGCCAGCAGTTGTCGTACCAGGTTTGACAAAGACCTCCACAGTGGCTTCTTCGGGTTTCAATGCGTCACGGCGTGCTGGGAGCTCAATGGGTGCGTTGACTGCGCCCAGAATGCTGTAACCAGTGGCTGGGCATTTGTATGACGCTGACCCGTCGGCACGATTTAATTGTGAGAGGGATGCTATGGGACCGACCATATTTACGAAAGATAGAAAAAAAAAATTGGGAAGCTTTCAAAAGTTGTGTTCGAGCAAAGTCACAAAAGTTGTTCGCAGCGATTTTTCATGTGCGGGCCGCTTTTTGATTGGCCACAGAGCTGGGATTGTACTAGGTACCTCATTTATCGCAGGTCTATCATATACTTCTGTGGTATTAACTACAAGTTTAAATAAAATGAATAGAACCCAACATTCATGACTTTCCTTTACTATTTGACTTGTCTATCTGCTATGTGCATACTATGGATAGTAGGTATAAAGTGATCTTGACTTTGAACGTGGCACATCTGACCGTAACCAGACTCAACTGTCTCCGATTCGCTGATACCAATTCCCAGTGCAGAGTGGACGTGTCAGTCCCAAGAGATGCCGAGTTCCCAAAATGCGGACTATTTAATTAAATTGGCAAGGCGGCTGTGCTCATACAGGATGCAGTTGGATTCGCCTGATTTCACCAGGGACAGATAGGGGGCCATTTATGTTATCCGGTACCTACTCGGCTCCTTACTCCCCGAATACAACATAGATATTCTAATGGCCAAAGTACGAAAGGGTATGTTTGTGAGAAGCCGTCAGCCTTAAGCCAGGAATAGCACGCCACGACTGCCTAGAAGCCAAGATGTGGCTTCAACCCCGGACTGGATATCATCCAATCCCAATGTAAGAACCTGGGGGGGTCCCATGATTTAACTGGACCACCGACCAGGTTATTTCAAAACTCCGCCAGAGCCCAGAGAAGCCAAGAGTTTCCGATGAGTTTGCCCCAATGACATCGTGGCTTCACGATGTAATCAGGACTGCCCCTCACAGCTTAGAGGATCCCCTCTTCTGAAAGTGAGCATGTGCCCTGTTTTTTTATTATGTACATGGCTAACTCTCGCATATATATTCTATTTCTAGATCATTCCTCCTTGTTACTTCCACATCCCCTAGTGCGAACATCATTTTCCCCTACTCTCTCAAGGTTGACGGGTATTCAGGGAATTTAAAAAGCCATCTGACTTATTTCCGTTTTCGTTTCCCACAATCTTATTGAATGGGCGTAGAGATAACCCCCGATGTCGAGGAATCGACGGAGCCTCCTATATGTCCTTTCACGGAAACCAATCTTCAATCCAATGTGACAAACAGTTCATGTACTAAACCCTGCACTACCGATGAAAAGCCTATCTCGGACAACGATTACACTGCATCCTTGGAGCCCCAACCAAGTAAAGAAGGGTCCGACCGAAACGCTCATCTCATAGAACCTTCTAAGCTCGCATCCCTCTTGCACACAGATCTCCGGTGCGTCAGTGTTTGGTGTACTCCAATATAGTCAGGTGTCCTTATTAACACACGCTTTAGAAATGGTCTCACTAGCAACGAAGCGGCCTCCCGCCTCCAGCGCGATGGTCCGAATACCGTGCGTGAAGTGGAGGGTGTCTCCGTCTGGGGGATACTGCTAAGGCAAGTGTCTAACAGTCTTACACTAGTATGTTAAACCGCATCTATCAATGCCACCAACAAAACATAGCTGACACAACCCAAGGTTCTTTTGATCACTATGGCTCTATCCTTTGGAATCGATGATTATATCGAGGGAGGTGTCATCACCGCAGTGATCGTGTTGAATATAGTTGTGGGGTCAGTATTTCGGAATTAAACCTTGTCCACTACTAATATTTTTTTCCTTCTAGTTTCGTGCAAGACTACCGTGCCGAAAAGACAATCCTGTCGCTGCATCGCCTCTCAGCCCCAATATGCAAGGCCATCCGAGAGGGTCGAATTGCCTCTGTCAAAGCGGAGTCGTTGGTTGTCGGCGATATAGTCCAACTAGCAGTTGGGGACATCGTCCCTGCAGACCTGCGCTTGTTCGATGGCATGAATGCTTCAATGGATGAAGCACTTCTAACAGGCGAATCCCTTCCCATTCTCAAAACCCCCCATTTAACCTTATCATTGTCTGATATCCCTATCGGCGATCGAACCAACATGGCCTATTCCGGCTGCAGCACTACTCAAGGTCGTGCAATGGGAATAGTCACGGCAACAGGGATGAATACAGAGGTTGGGAAAATCGCACAACTACTCCAGACACAGCCCAATCTTGGAAACTCGAGCCGCCTTGTAAAGGCGGGAAAACGGACAAAGGCATTTTTCATGAACGTGTTAGGCCTAGTTGGCACGCCGTTGCAAGTGAAGCTGAGCAAATTTGCGCTCCTACTTTTTGGACTGGCAATTTTGCTCGCGATTATTGTCTTTTCGGTCAATAAATGGGATGTTCAGGGCGAGGTGCTCATATATGGCATCTGTGTTGCCGTTGCCGTCATTCCAGAGTCGCTGATTGCTGTCCTCACGATTACAATATCCGTGGGTACAAAAGCAATGGCCAAAGGCAATGTAATCGTGCGAAAACTCCAATGTCTTGAGGCAGTCGGCGGTGTCACAAACATCTGTTCGGACAAGACAGGGACCTTGACCCAGGGAAAGATGGTAGCCCGCTCCGCATGGATCCCTGGTGCTGGTACTTTGACTGTGAGCCAGACTACAGATCCATTTGATCCGACCAGTGGTCTGGTACAACTAGATGAGATCGATTGGAGCTCCAACCAACCCATCGAAGATAATCCTGCACTGCATACATTCCTACGAGCGCTTGCTCTCTGCAATCTTTCCGCTGTCCACCATGAAAATCAAATATGGAGTGCTGTGGGTGAGCCAACAGAAATTGCTCTTCATGTTCTGGCTTTGCGCTTTGATTTTGGCAAAGACTCTGTGATGAAGAAAAGACAACTTCAATTACACACAGAGTATCCATTTGATTCTGCTATCAAGAAGATGACTGTGGTCTATGACAATTCACGGGATAAGATCAAAGAGGTGTACACGAAGGGTGCCCCGGAGACAATTATTCATCATCTCAATATTGACGAAAAAGAAAAACAAGTCATACGAGACACCGCCGATCGAATGGCTGGCGAAGGACTTCGTGTGCTATGCATCGCATATAAAACAATGGCAATCGACGATGAATCTCAAATGTCCCCACGAAGCTCTGCCGAATCAAACCTACAATTTGGAGGCCTTGTAGGGCTCTATGACCCCCCTCGAGTTGAATCCGCTGCTGCCGTACGCAGATGCCAAATGGCAGGGGTCACGGTGCACATGCTCACTGGCGACCACATTAAGACAGCGACGGCTATTGCGTCAGAAGTCGGGATTCTTGATCGTGTCACGGCACACATCAAATCCAGCAGACTGGTAATGGCTGCAGATGAATTTGACAAGTTGACCGATGCAGAAATTGACGCGATTGAGGAACTGCCTCTTGTCATCGCACGCTGCAGCCCTGCCACCAAGGTTCGGATGGTAGATGCGATGCATCGGCGTCAGGCATTTTGTGTCATGACGGGAGATGGTGTCAATGATTCGCCTGCTCTCAAAAGAGCTGATGTTGGTATTGCTATGGGCAAAAATGGTAGCGATGTTGCCAAGGAGGCTGCCGATATGGTTTTGACAGATGACAACTTCTCTTCTATTGTCAAAGCAGTTGAAGAGGGTAGACGGCTTTTCGATAACATCCAGAAGGTAAAAGTCTCCCCATCACTATTTAATTTGACTTACTGACATTAATTTTAGTTCCTCCTGCATCTGCTCATCTCGAACATCGCACAGGTAATCCTCCTCCTGATCGCACTTGCTTTTAAAGATGCGGGAGGAGACTCGGTTTTCCCTCTGTCTCCACTGGAGATCTTATGGGCGAATCTTGTTACGTCTTCATTCTTGGCCGTAGGTCTTGGACTTGAAGAGGCTCAGCCAGATATCATGTACAGACCACCACATGACCTACGCGTAGGTGTTTTTACACGTGAGCTCATTGTGGATAAAATGATATACGGAACCTTTATGGGCACACTCTGCCTCATATCATTTGTCTGTGTGATATACGGCGCCGGCTCAGGAACGGCTTCTTTAGGCGATGGATGTAATCAAGAATACAATCCAAGCTGCGACACAGTCTTCCGCGCTCGCGCCACTACATATGCGACACTCACCTTTCTCCTCCTTGTTACAGCGTGGGAGGTAAAGCATTTTTCTCGTTCCCTATTCAACATGGATCCGATCCGATATCCCAAGACCTTCTCAGTGTTCCCCACTGTCTGGAACAACCGCTTCCTCTTCTGGGCGGTTATGGCTGGCTTTGTCATTGCCTTCCCAGTCATTTATCTCCCAGTTGTTAACCAAGTGGTCTTCAAGCATCATGCTATTACCTGGGAGTGGGGAGTGGTCTTTGGTTGTACATGTGTCTACCTGCTGTGCGTTGAGAGTTGGAAGGCCATGAAGCGGTCGCTGGGCATTGGGAGCGGAAAGACTGCAACTCTTACGCTAGAGGATGCTGAGACGCGAGCAGGATTAGCCAATCTTACGCCACTATCAATGAGTGCGAATGCGAGCGTGGAACTGAAGTGATTCGGACATTCTTACTGGTTCAACACCAGAGCATGAATTGCCTCCAAGGCGTTCAACACGTTCTTATTCGTTTTTCTTATATGTTTCCAGAATGAAATCATTTTATTTATCTTCAAATAGCACAGTCACCGGGGGTTTACCTACCTATAAGATGTTATTAGAATACATAAACTTAAAAATGGCTAGATTAATAATCCTGCCGAGGCTAAACTGAATGCGGATAAGGGATGTGATTAGAAATCGTCCTGACCCCACTGGGGTAATCTCCCAGGAGTTTAAAGTGTTGACCGTTATGAAGAATTAACATTTAACATTGAATTATTTCTTATTTCTATATGTGTCATGTCCTTGGTGTGTTTGAGCAGAGGTTTGATTGATAACCGTCGCAATTGGTTTGGAACTGGTCTGGGCTGGCAGGAAACAACAGTGAGTTGGAAGTGGGATTTAATGCTAGGACGCAAGGCCCTCCTTGTACGATATGCAGGATAATGGCTCGATTGGTAATCGGGTCTGAGATGAGAGCCCTGAAAACGAGGGGTAGGTGACAGGCTGAAAATCTACGCCTGCTTCATTAGGGTTCTACTGACAATGCCAACTACGTAGCAGGCAATATATGACTTTATATAGCAGAACAGAGCACGGCAATTCAAGATTGTGGGAATAAAAATGGATGGCTCCTTAAATAATCGAGTAGACAGAAAGTAGTGTCTTATTCAGGGGGTCTCGGAGACATTGTAGACCAGCTTCTCACCGCTGACCTTATCCTCCTTGAGCAACTTCAGACCCTCGATCACACCCTTCAGCCCATGTTTGCCAACCTTAGGGGGGTGGACCTTAACCTTCCCTTGAGCGAGCAGATCCTCAGCAATGGGAATAAACTTCTCAGCGTGGGCTTTGTCTTCCGGCTTGGCGGGGAAGGGAATATCTCCGAAGACGAATGCCTCGCCGATGACGGTATAACCCATGGTGAAGCGGTCGTTCACATTTGCACGGTTGATCTTGACGTTCAACAGAGCGCTATACTCGCCGCCATCGGTGGAGAGAGCATTGTCGCAGAACGCAGCGCTGGACTCGAGCGCGATACAGTCGAACACGAGCTTCAAGTTGTTATCAGTGGCTTTGCGAATTTTAGCGGGGGCTTGGGCATCCTTGTAGTCATAGACTTCATCGGCGCCAAGGCTGCGGACCAAATCGAAGTTGTGCGGGGAGCAAGTGGTTAGGACCTTGTAGCCCGACAGCTTGGCAAATTGGATGGCCAGAGTACCAGTGGCTGTGGAGCCACCGTAAATCAAAATCGGAGTCGCATCTTTGATGGGTTCGGTGGGCAGTGCAAGCTTCAGACTTTGATACAGACCCTGACCCACGGTGTTGATGCCCACTCCGAGGGTAGCAGCTTCCTGGAAACTCATATTTTCTGGGATCTTCCACTGCACGTCCCCCTTGGCGACGAGGTACTCGGCGAAAGTGCCATCCTCTGGCTGCACTGCATTGGAGCCGTGCGCGAATCCGCATACGCGGTCACCCTTGTTGAACTTCTTTTTGACATCCTTGCCGACGGCCTCGACAATGCCTGCATAGTCGCATCCGACGACAACACCGGGAGGAGAAAAGTAGGCAATGTGCTTCCAGTCAGTAGGGTTCAAGCCCACACTAACAGTCTTAACGAGAATATAGTCATCCCGAAGCTTGGGGATGGGTCGATCAGTGACCAGACCTTCCGTCTTGGGCTCGGTGATGATGACTGCCTTCATTATGAGTATGGATATATAAGAGAAATGAATAAGGTGAAGGGGAGATGGGGAGTATGGAGTATTAAATAGTTCTGATTACAAATTGCATTGTGACGAAATAGGAATCCACTTGCCTTTTTGGGATCGTCACAAATGTTGCACCGACTCCGACTCAATCTACCCGCAATCCCGAGGTCCTCTCTCTACATAGCCCTCTATGAACTTTCCAACTGGAGTGTTATGTTTTATCTCTTTTTAGGCCACATCAAATCACGATACACAACTTTGATCACGGGGAACCCCCATGGCATTGGGCATCTTTCGATCCACCCTGAAAATAGGCCTCAATCGATACTCCTTCTGCCTACTCACTTTGGTTCACTTGACCAATTTTCAATATTGTACATCAAGGGTCATTGACACACGAGGTACGCCAAGACTTTTGAGGTATTCAAAATCTCCAGAGATATTGTGTCATTCACATGAAACGGTTATCGTGGCTTCTGGCGTTTTGTGGAAGAGGCATGACCAAATATCTTCAATAGTTCCAAGGTTATAGGACAAAGGTATACTCTTGAGAAAGGAATGTCTGATATCATATCTAATCTACTATATAACCTTGGAATCTATACCAGGCTTGATAATACGAATCAAGCCAGCAGGCAAACCAAGCTATGTGCATAATAAACCACCCATGAATAACATATATCTTTCAATCTACCTTTGAGATTTATATTATGTTCTCTTCCTACACAAGAATGTTGGACATGCTAACACGGAGTATATCCGGTATACATGAAGTTCTCCGCCCAGCTGACGCAAGGGGTACCCATGACTGGAAACAAAACCAGATTTGACGCAATTTGAAAATTATTGTTAGACGTATATCTTGTTATTCAAATCCGAACCAACGCATCTGACGTCTTTTGATCTTTGTACCAAACAAGGTGTCGATCCGAGTCGGCATATCGCGGGGTCTAGTCGGTTAGTGCTTATCGGCATAAACAACCCCTCCCACTCGACAGAAATTCCTCCCAAACACATATTTTGATTCCGACCATAATAACACGATCAATCATGAAGGTGCTTTGTCTCCATGGCAAGGGGACCAGTGGCTCTATCTTCCGGTCACAGATTTGTTAGCTTCCCAGCCCACGGGTCTTTTCAGACAACTAATCTCACTCCCCAGCCTCATTCCGCGCTAAACTTCCCGACGACATACAGTTTGATTTTGTTGATGGTCCGTATAAGAGTGATGCCGCTGCAGGTGTGGATATCTTCTACAGTCCTCCCTACTACGCCTTTTGGGAAAATGATGGCGTCGACTCCGTCCGAGCCACCTACAACTGGCTGAATGAGCATATTGCCAAAAATGGCCCATACGATCTGGCGCTTATGTTCTCACAAGGCTGCGTTTTGGGCTCTAGTGCTCTTCTATTCCACCAGGAAGAGACACCCCATCTCCCACCACCGTTCAAAGCGGCTATCTTTGTCTGCGGTGGTGCCTCCTTGAGTGTTCTTGAGGAGATGGGTTTCCATGTTTCTGCTGAGGCGCGCGAGCGTGATCTTGCATCCCGATCTGCGCTAGCTTTACAAGCTAACTCGGCGGCACTCTTGGCTCAGGGTTCGGATCGGTGGACTGGTCTCAAGACTCTAGACGGTGGGCTCTCGGAGGCCGAATTGCGGAATGAGATTACTAGCCCCTACCGTATCAACGTCCCCACGGTACATATTTACGGCTCGAAAGATCCTCGGTGGGCGGCTGGTGTGCACCTCTCTGGTATCTGCGAACCCACAAAACGTCGCACCTATGATCATGGTGGTGGACACGAAATTCCTAGGACGGCTGCCGTGAGCAACTCGATCGCGGAACTTTTCCAATGGGCTGTCTCACAGATTGGTTCAAACTAAATACTGATGGTTTGATATATGTTGTGTCCTTCCACATGTCTTTGTTTTTCATTGTTTTCCAATACTTGGGATAGATATATACACGGAGAGGAAATATAAGGTTCGGGTGACTATATATAGATAGCATGGCCTTTTGACAGTTTGAATGATTTGCCGTCTACAGACCCGTCAGCAACAACCAAATATTGGAGGGATAGGGAAATACTAATTGATGTACAACATACAACATAGTACACGATACCCGATTGATCCACTTACAGCCTTAAATGATCACGCCATTGCTTAACTTTATAAAATTTCCGATCTTTTGAAAATACCAGAAATGGCTCCACTTTGGTATTTTTCAATGTATATATGTACCAATCTTTTTCAACCTTTATAAGGTGTCATCGTAATCATAGAGGTATCCATAGATGAATTTAATATATACTGCATGGAAAATACGCTATATAATTCAATCTAAACCGTTATGAAAATTCATAGAGACTTAGTATAAGACAGTGAAGGAAATCTTTAGTTGAAAGACCTAAATTCAACATTCACTTGAAAATAAACTCTATCGGTCAATCCGTTAGCCCTAAATCACGCTAGTCGCAGGCAATGTTTTCAGCGCCACTCAGAATTTCAAATTTTATCCCCAAGTGAATTGCCATTCATCATGTCATGGCATGAGACGCTCAAGCTCACTAGGGTCGAGGATTCTGAGGAGTTCAAGTTGTTCAGCGACCTTGTCAATGGAGATGTTACGGTTGATGATGCAGTACAATGGATCATGACCACGACAATGGACAGACTTGAAAGTTACGGGCCAGGAGGAACTATCGAAAAGGCCGATGAAATAACATTCATAGCTATCATTGAGCTGGCTATGCAAATCGATACAACTCAGTATGGTCCATTGATTGAGTTCCTGGGAGAATTAAAGCTGTACAATGCCGTCCATTCATCAACTGGGTTGATCCTAAAAACACAAGATGGAAGCAGAGTATGGTCGCATCTACCATCCCTGACTTTCTGGGCCCGCAAAATATGGAATGACCAAATGACATGTAAGCGACGTCGAGTTCTGTATTGTCTTCTGTAGCGCTAATCAATCCTCAAGACGTCTGCGACCCGGATATGGAACTCAATCAGAAAAGCAGATGGGCAAAGCTGAATATATTTTTGGCACAAGTCACACAAGCTGCAGATGTGGAATACAATTCCCCATTGCAAGCGTGGATCAGTGATGCTATGGATTTATCCCATATGGGCCTTTGCGGGCTTCGCCATGTGTTCGAAGAGGGCATTCCATTCGAACAAGTTGCCTCTACAGCTGGTCTCCCTGGCGTGTGCCACTGGCTAATTTGTGCCGGTGATAGAATATGGGAAAATGTACTAAATGGCCGCAAATACAACAAGTATGATGGTCGACCCGGAGAAATGTATTCAAATCGCAGTTGGAGGGGGTTTGAACGCGAGAGATGGGATGTATGGGTGCAAGGGCTTCGTGAAGCGAAAGCTATGTGCACACCTAGCCAGGAAGCCGTGAGAGACTTGATAGACCGTGCTCTGTCCAAGGTAGACGGTGTAATGAACAATGAGATTTCATCCAGCTAAGATCTTTCGATATTGTATAGCATAATAGAGGCACATGAGTATCGGGATGAAGGGTTGAGATCAAGTGAATAACCGTCTACAAAACCACTACTCTACTATGATATTGCAATAATGTGTACATTAGGTACTGGTCCAGAATATATATTTGAAGTAGATCTAGGATTCCCAAAAACTCACATGAGATATTTATTTGAAGCTCAAGTCAAATTGTGTACATGGAAAAATAACGCCAAACCCACAGAGCTTCAAACATATATAACTTATCTATAGACATAAGTCACTTACCATGAGAATGTCTCTTCAAACAGATCGACCGTTTTTTCTCCTTGTACATTTCTGACAGCCTCTCGCACACTATCGCCTAGGCCACCAGGACCGCAGACGCTAACCGCCATCGCACCGATCTGTTCTGCCTTTTCTTTCTCTAGCACGGATTTCATACAAGGCTTGCTGTGGTGGATGCTGACCGGTACGCTGGGCGGAGCACATTGCATCCACGGCGAACCCGGTTGTGGTATGTACTCCTCGGCCGTATCCTTATGTGCTGTGACATGGAGGCTAATGGAGAGGAGAAGCTGTGGAAATTGGAAGTATGAGTCCCCGTTCGCGTTTATTGGGCCAATTAGGGATTCGTGGCCTAGTATGTCGGCCATGAATGTTTGAATCCAAGTTAGGTGCTCTTTCCATATGTTAGCAGCCAGTCTTATGTAACCAATAGGGCGATTGTACCTAGACTACGGACGATCCAGACCAGATGCACCTTGCGGGTAGCTGTTTTCTGCTCCATAAACGTGGCTAGAACCTCGTTCAGATACGACATTGGGTGGGTAATGCCAATCCCCCCAGCTATCAACAATAGAGTACCATATGAGGCGAGAGAATGGATACCGCCTGTAAGATATTAGCAAATGTGTTGAGACCCATCGACAATTAATGTTTGAGGTATGAAATTCATACCAAATGGCCCCTCTGCCAATGCCATAGCCCGAATGCGTCCCTCAGGGGAGTCGTCTGCTTTCTGGAGTAACCTTTTCGTGAACCCATCCTGGCCCTTGATCAGAACGGACATGGTTGTAGTCGGCGAGTCTCCGATGAGGGCCTTCAAAGAGTCACCCGAGCCACGCTTTTCGTTCATAGTCAACGAATCCGATGTCGAAGACCACGCGACCGTGAAGGGATGTGATGTCCACAATCCCAGACAGGGCATGTAGAGGTACATATATTGGCCAGGACGGAAGCGCCATGCCCGAGCCACGGCCACGTCAACGCGAGCAACAGACCCAGGTAGAATCTCCACTGTGGCAGTTGTGGGCCTTGAGCTAAGATTTCTCCAAAGTAGTATCCCAAGTCGACCTGCACGATCGAGGCCCCACAGGACCAAGGTGCCAAGGAGCACACGCTGTTGCAATAGGTTTTGTAGATGATACCAAAGCGCCACGAAGGAGAATATGGCTAGAGCTATGTGCAGGTGAAGGAATAGTTCGTAAAATGCATGTCGGGCCGGCGACAGAGATTGAATAAAAATGAAAATGAATCCAAGGATGGCCTACGGATACATATGTTAGATCTGAAGTGCTGATGGATGGCATCACATACTAGAAGACCACATAGGAAAAGCTTCTGTTGCCACATAGCATATAGAATAGGGTCTGGGCCATCTAAGTGCGAAGGTCCGATGTTAGTGCATAATTGCTTCATATATGCTCGACGCCACTCACATATATAAGCCTGGCTGGCCAGCACAGCGCTCATATGAATGACCGCATTAGCTGTGATCACACGTCCCACCCAACGATGCATGAAATTGAACGTATCGAACGGGATGCCCAACAACTGGACCAGCGGATTGTTCCGCCCTGCACCTAGGACCAAGCCAGGTGTATTCATGACTGCCAGATGGCCTGCAGTGTATTTGAGCTGGAACATCTTCTCGGTATAATCACTGACCCACCAATCGACAGTCACAACAATGAATAGTACATTCAAGCTGAGATAGATCAACAGGCAGATCATCTCCAGTCGCAGCGGTAGAGACCCCATGTGAAGCCTAAACATGCGAAACTCGCGGCTGTGGCGATTGCCCCATATCGGAGCGTATATTAAATGCCTTTTCAGGGCCGCATTCAAGCGATTTGTCCGAGACAGCTGTGTCTGGTCGGCTCCTTGCCATGCCGCCTTTGATCGTCGACGATGTCGGATGCGAATGACGGTTCTCCAGACAAATAGAATTACTATCAGCCCGGCGACAACGAACAAGGGGACTGCAATAGCAGGGTTCATAGGCGGCTCCCCCGGGCCATTTCCTTTGAGTTCGACACCCATTGTGCCATTCAGAGAGGCAAGGGGAGCTCGAGCTGTAGGTCCACTAGGTAGGAGACCGTCAACCACAAGCTAGATTTTTCAACCCTGCAAGGACTTTAAAGACCGAGAAAGGGCGAGAAGACAATGGTTGGATTGAATAATACTATTAAAGGTTCTGTGGTCGCGTGGAAAGGAAAGTAAGTTCTGGACATGCATCATTGGCGTATTAATTTCCAGATCAGTCATAGATACATGCCGTCATTGACCGCTGCCGGTCCTGCAAAATTATTTTCGCCTCATGGCAAGTGTAGGCAATTGTGTCTCACATGGTCAGTGTAACGTCGAATCGAGATAGATCCATGCTAAGGTTAGAGTGGAGGTGATCGGTCCCAAAACCCCGGGATGTCCTGACCAAATGGGGAATGTGGATAAGGTGACGGACTATAGACTTAGGGATAAGGACAAGGGGGAGTCTAGACGTAGTCGGTTCGGCAACCCGAAAACGGAATGCCTGTCACTCTCAGCGTTATTCGTCCCCCCATTCAAAACAAGAGAGATAGTTATTGACCCCTTGATCGTTTTGGTTCCTGGATATCGAATTTTGCTTGATATTTGCATTGTCAAAACTCTTGATATCAAGCTTAAGGAATCGAGCCTCGGATACTCGGTTCGATGGGATGCAACTGCAACGTTAAAGACAATGGTCAAGTTCGAAGTGGAAACTGTAGCGTAGCAATCTTTGAACGTCGGTATGACGCCATAGTACCCTCAAGAATTCTTGGCTTGATAAATGCCAGTCGTCTGTACTCTATAGAGGTTGACAGATTACTAAAAGACTTCTCTCGGCTTTGAAGCTCTTCCGGGTTGAGATGCCACGTGACCGATCTTCAAACTCGAGTTTTTCCTCTCGCAAGATATTTCCAGATCCTACCATCTAAGTAGTTCTAGACCTACCTCTCATGCTATTGACGATTCCGAACATGCTGCCCAAAACGGGAGAGTTGCGGAGTTGACGCCTTGAAACAGATGAACAGTGAAAATGAGGGTCGAATCTCGGCCCAGGCCGAGAAATGAAGGAGTAGGGTCAATCTTTGCGAAATATTCCGGAGAGCCAAAGCTCGAATAGATGTATGTTGTACTGTGTAAGAAAGGCGACGCTAGTTAAGAATTGGAAGGGACTGCTACTGAGAATTCTGCTGTAAAAGCACAATGAGGAAACCCTCAGAAACCCTCGGCACAGATAGGTGCTTCTCCGGCTATATTACTAAAATATATGTTCTTAGTGAATGGGACTAAGTTCCTATAGAGGTCCAGATAAAAAAACATATATTTGATCTTATACATTAGCGTATGAAGATGTCATTCTACTTAGCGCTAGTATGTATGTTGTACGCTATTCCCGATACCATTCCATGTCTCCCTCTTTTGTCTGGCCCCAAAATACACCTTACCCATAAACTAGAAATACAAAAGTCGAAAACGCCGTCATTATTGGTTTTGCATAAATGACACCCGTCCTAGGGTCATTGTGATCTCAGCCAGGTACCTCCTGCACATTGAGAGGGGCATGAGGTGATGGCTGTCCATCTTCCTCGATAGAGAGGCTGCCATACCCAGTGTCGTTGCTAGCTGATCGTTCCCGACGAGGAGGCGGTCTTTGGATAGGATGATCAACTAGATCTTGATCGGCGTCGCTTTCGGATGACTGGGATTCTCCCCTGCGCCGTCGTGTCCTGCGTTTCTTGGACAGAGCCTTGTCAGGTGCGATGTGCATAAAGTCATCAACATTGATGCCTGCGTTTTGGCAAATTGCTGTGCACGATTTGACGATCACTTCTACGAGAGTAGATGAAAAGCCGTAGAATGCCGGGGTGTAGGCATTTCGGGCCCAATAGATAAGTTCTGCTGATACGCGACCGAGATTAGGGATGTCACGGGGGCATATGGAGAGCTTTGGAGTTGGACGGGTCTTTTCTTCCGCTTCATCGTCTGCGGATGTAGCCTCCGAGGCTGGACTCGAAGGGGAGGATGAATCGGACGAGGCAATATAATCCACGTCAGAGGCGAGAAGGTGTAGGAGATGATAGACAGATGAGAACCCAATGAGAGAAAGCTCTACTGGATCGATCGGAAGCTGATTGAACCAAGTGATGGCTTTTTGGATTGTGAAGGACTCAGGCAATGAGGAGGCGCCACCTGTTGATCGTTCGGTGACAATGGCGGCAATCATAGCACAGCGCACGGCAATGGAGATTTCGTCCCGCACGGAAACGGGCAAAGAGGAATCAAGGAAGTTGGACGAGTGGTTCTTGCTTCCCTTTCTCTTTTCTTTCGGTAGGGCGGCAAGAACTGCCCCAACATTTTCAATGCGATTTTGTTCGAAAAACACTGCTTTCATCACAAGTGCCCGAGTGTACGCCGCGGAAAGCTCCGGCGCCACATCAAGGGACATACGAATCTTTTCTTTGAATGCATCACGGCTTGTCTTGGACACCGGCCCCTTCCCGCTTGCTTCGAAATAATTAAGAAGAGCGGTTTGTAAGAGATGACTGGACCACCAAGCCGCAAGTGCATCTTGCGAACATTGGATAGCCGGATCCTCGTCCACAACGTCAAGTAGCACTTCGTCATCGCCAGTACCTTCCTGGGTTGGTCGGTTCCATGTCAAGTTCACAGCACGTTGAATAATGTTGTCGATCATGACATCCTCACAATCCAGTTTGATCAAGGCAGCAAGATGAGGCGGAAGCAAATCAGGGTGACCCTCAGGCAGCGCTGCATTGATTTCTCGAGCCACACCCCACTGAAATCTGGCAAGAGCTCGCGCAATGTCATTTGACACATGGAACGACCAGGAGCCTGCCTCGCCAACATTCCACAAGAGAATGCGGACATGCAAGGCCTTTATAATCATTCTTGTAGGAGTGCAGGGGAGTGTGCCGGCAGCGAATATAGTGAGCACAAGGCGACTCTTGCTGATCTCAGCATCTCCACCAGTGAGTTGAGCATCAATTGCGATATCCCAGGTCTTGACTCGCCCCTTCTCATCCTCCTCGGTTATTCCAGTGGCCCATGAGTAGAGTTTCCATCCCATCAAGCATCGTAAGACGTATTCAAAACATCTCGAAGTAACAACATACCACTCTCGGAAGAACCTATGACGCGGAACACCGACCCGTTGCATGCTAGTCAGCCAAGCCTGCCGGCGGAAATCACTAGACGTAAGAGGTGCCGTCGGGCCCTCAGAAACCGATTTGGATGGGCCCCGCCGGGTGATGGGCTGCGCATTGAACAAGTAGACGAAAACAATAAAGGCACTAGCAACGACCAGAGTCGCTAGCATGAGGAAATGAGAAAATGCGCGAGCCTGCCAGGAGTACAAGAATTGCTTCAGGTAGAATTCCCAGTGTGCCAGTGTGGGTGTTTGGAAACGGCCGAGAAGACTCATGGGGAGAGCAAACAGGCCCTTCGCCTCGGACTCGGAATCGTCAGAGCCCATACCTTCGAGAACCATCAAACCGGCAAGGGCTCCCAGCATATACTTGTTGGGCATCCTTGAACGTCGAGTGGAGGTATCTCCACTTGCGTACTGCGGTTGATGAGAAGACGATGATGATGAGGGGTATTTGATATAGGATTCGGCGAAGACTCCTTGTTGCACAGTTTCCGCTCGCATACGTTTCCATGCATCTGGAACCTTTAGAAGACCTTCTGGGGGGTTGTGAGACGTGGGTGAACTCTCGCTAGATACGTCTTCCGCCTGAGAGAACACACTAGGTGAAGTACCGGAGCCCGAATCCGTCGACGCGTAGTTGCTGGGCGAGGACACTGATGCTGAAGATGTGGCGGCTTGATCTGCTGCTTTATCAGCCCGGCGAAGCTGGTTCTTCAAAGCAGTGTTTTCATCTTCCAAGCGTTGGTTACGAATTTCCAGATGTTTAATATACTCCGTTGCCTTCGACAGAATGGATGCTTTGTTGAGCTTGTTCGCAGCGTTTGTTCCCTCCGCTTCGTCGTCATCATCGGCCGAGCCTCCATTCGGGTTTTTGGTCGACCGAAGGCTAGGAACACTGTCACGAAGCTCGGCGATTTTATCGTTCAAGTTGGCGCGATACCGCTTCTCAATGACGTTGTGAGCTCGCTTTTTGGCGGGCATTTTCTTTCCTGGTTGCACTGACCCAGTCACTGTGGTGGCATCGTCATCGCTTCCCGTCTTTCGCTTACGGCTTGTTCCAACACTTGATATTGGAGACACTAGACCTAGATGTCCTTGCTGGGCCGTGTACCGATTTTGTCCAGGTAGGTTGTGGGTGTACCCAAGGTTATTCCCAGCGTCGAGCTCGGATGGGATTTCCATCAAGCCGAGTGGAAGATTAGGCGAGAAATCTCTGGAGTTCAAATGACTCGGGGAACTCATATCGGTGTGAGGGGAAATAGATGGCGGGTCTTTAGATGAGGCCATTGGCTTTTGGTCTGGTTCCGAGAACATTGGCTCATCCCATCGCATCCATTGGGTCCAATCTTGGTTCAAATTCTCTCCGGTTGGATGTGTGAACAAATGACCATTTCCTCGCATTTCATCCCCACCAGGGGTTTCTGAAGAAAAAAGCTGGAAGTCATTCTCCATATTGGGACCGGACATCTTGGCTGGTATTCCAAGGGTTGAATCCTCGGCCAATGCCCGAGGCAGTCTAAGTCCGAAGTATGTATTGCGGCACTCTAGATAGTTGTCACTGATGAAGACGTTAGTTCCAGTAATAGGAGAAAAGCCACCGTTGTTTTTATAAAACAAAATTTCACTGCCTGAAGAGCCATAGTAGAGGCAAGCCAGACATACCTAGGCCGATACAGGCTAGCGGCGATCCCATGATATCATGATAGTAGGAAGGAGATGGATAATACTGACTTGGGTTCAAATTCAAGTGTAACGCTCAACTCAAATGAATATTAACAGATTTGGGTGTACTTTCTTTCCACAAGGTGAACTGGAAAGACTGAGTTGTGAGGAGGGGAATGTGAGA